CTCTATCTGCAAAGCAATGCAACTACGTGGCAAGGTCCTTGAGTCCGGGGGGTGGCTGGTATTGGCTAGCACGTTTCAAATCACTGCCTGGCTGCCGTTACTGACCTCGCAACTGTTATTGCCGGCACTGCTTACTGGCCTGGGCCTGGGCTCTGCTTTGAGCGCCGCAGTTTATGTGCTAAGTGCAGTAAGTCGTTAAATGAAGACCCACATTGCCACAAACAACACACCGCACATGCACTTTACGGCATGGCACGAGGCGCCGCTGCCGCCAGTCGTTTGTAGTCGTTTCCAGTTGCTGTTCTGTTGCCCACCCACTCGGTGGGGGGGCACTTGGGTGGGTATCGTCCACTGGTCGGACAACGCGTTCGTTCGTCCATTTGGTTTTGTCGGTTTGTTGGTTTCTGGGCCACAGACAGAAAGTGAATTCTATGTAGTTGCCTCTTGGCTGAAATTTGAGTTTTGTTTTTTGCTTTTATTTGATTTTTATTTTCGCGGGTGCTTGGAGGTGCAGCTCGTGCAGCTCGTCAAATGCTACTCATCCTCATTTACATTCTCATTCTCATTTCCATTCCCATCCGCCTTGTTGTCTTGCATACCATCGCACATAATTGCCCGACAGCCAACACCGACTCGACCGAGCCACACACATTTCATTGACTTGGCTGAAATCTTGTGGCTAGTGATGGTAGCGTGACTGCTGGTAATCCTGTCAAGGTTTCCCCTTAAGTATTACGGCATGTTAAGTCAAGGTTTATGAGAGGTTTATTAAGGGATGGTCAAAGTGAGGGCAAAATGTATTGATTGTGTGAGACTTTGTTTATTTAAATATAATATTTGATCCTACAAACTAAAGGAACTTGTTCAAAGTGTCTTCTGGAGGTGTTTGATTGATTCTAATCATATTGTTAGCTCTGTAAAAGCAAATCTACTGAATACAACCTCAAAAATGTACGCACGTAAGATAGAAAAAGTGGAGAAAAAATCGTTTAAAAAATTATTTCTTATGGAAACTCTTTACTTTTCTCAACTACTTCCTTATTGATGAATATTTCACCTTAATGTGCTTCCCACCATATCCTCCTTTGTATCAATAATAAAAGATTATTGTTTGATTCGTGCGCAACCATCTCTAGTTGGATCTCACATGCCTGCAGGCTCGTCTCGTTCGTCATTTTAACCCAACAATTTGTTCAGCAATTTGTGCGCGAGTGTGTTTGCCTTGTGTTTAGGGAATTCAAGATGTTGTTGAATAGATACATAGATGGATGAATGGATGGAGAGCTCCAACCAATTTGCAACCTCATCGCGAGATCGTCGAACCCCTCTCTGTCCGACACGCCCGGCCCCTCCCCACAGCAGAGACCCGCCCAACAAAGCGATAATATTTTTTTTTTGCTATAAATACAGGCCATTTTGATTATTTTTCTCTTGTTGTTTTTTATTCATATAATATTTTTTCTGCTAAAGAGTTTTTGTTGGCAGCAATATAGTGGTTGTGTCACTTCTCTTTCTCTCTATCTTTCTATGGGTATCTCCTATCTGCCACGCCTCATATACATACACAGTCCTCTCCTCACTCCACTCCACTCCACCCCAACCCATCCATCCACTTGACTGGCAATTGGCGACTGGTTTCGGTTTCGGGGAGCCATTGTCATTCATAGCACACTTTCCGAGCTCTGTTTCAACAAAATGAAAAAGTGTTATAAAGGAATTAATCTGTGATGGCATAAATTCATTTATCTATGGATATAACTCCGAGATCTGCTATCCGTTCAACAAATTCCTTTGCTCTTGCTTACCTTTCATTGCGTGTGACTGTTCCTGCCTCTTGGAAGTTTTATCCATCTGTCATCTGACAACAGTTTTGTGGCGTGTGTTTTGACTTTAAACTTGAAAAAAAAGTGTTCTGCCCACACTTCCTAATGCCTAGAGGCAGAGGCAAACAGTTTCCATTGACTTGTCCCATGCAAAACCATAAATTTACATGCCTTTGCCTACGATTTGTGTGCTTCTTGGGTCGTCGTCATCCACGTTATCCACGTCATCGTAATCGTCAACTTGTTGCGCCCATATTTGGCAACAGATTCAAATGACCGAACAAACGGCCGTCCATCTGTCTCTCTGTCTGTCTCTTGATCATTTTATCGACAATCAGTATTTATATCTTGTTTGGACCTGGTCTTGCAGTCCAAGCCGTCTGTTCTAGTGGCTGGGGTGCCGTTGTTCTATCTAGAGGCAAGGCATTACTCATATACTCACCCATGGCACGACCTTTGTTTGGCAATCAGCTTTTATTTACTTACGATAAATGGGAAGGTTTTTATAGGAAAATTCATATATAGAAATATGAGTATTTTACGTGTTAAATAATGTCGACTAAATTGAGCGTGATGTGGGCGGGTTCTCATTGATTTACAATCTGCGATTGCATAAATAAATTTAAAGAAAATAATAAGGCATGGGCTAAACACATCAATAAATGCAGTTTTAACGAGAATTTGCTTTTGTGACTTTCTGGAGGGAAAGTTCTGTCATAAATGTGTTAGTTTTATGGATTGTTCTAATAAAAGTGTTGCCTCTTGAGGTTTAATCTATCGAATATTTATCTAAACCTTAAAAAAAACCTTCTAAATGTATTAACTTGCTGGCGTTTTCTACATTAAAGATGGAAATGGTAGTCATGGCGCATTTTATGATGTGGATTTCTGTAATAAAAACCATCGTAAACATTGTTGAATATTTTTTAGTGCTGATACAACCTTCTCTGAAGCTGTAATAAAAAATATATCCCATCTTATATTTCACCTGCGAGCTAATCATTTTAACGTTTAGCCTCGATAGAGATTTATTAATTTATAATTAAGTAAATTTCGTGTGACTCTGTTGCATAGACCAACATTTTTGTTGCCATATATAGAAGCTATAGACGGGTCTATAACTCATTCAGCCTCAATCATAAAGGGGGGCAAAGGAATGAAATATAAAAACTGGTAGTGCAATTCCGCTGCACGTACTTATGTATGTATCTGACAGAACGTGCAATTATCGAGTTACAAATGAATTTGTTTTTGCCTTCTTTTTTTGCTTGCCTTGTCTTGTCTTGGTCGCTGATTATGGTAGTGGTTTCTTGTTGTTGTTTTTGTTTATGTTGGCACACTACCTGCCGGCGTATATGCAGTTCTCTTTACATGCATATCGTGTGCAATAAGCCATAAATTACATAATTGCCGTACGTTTATCTGGTGGATATTGGCAACCAACTGTTTGTTTTTTTCTTGCGACGATATCGTATCGGGTGTGTGATCTCTGGCCTTTGTGTTTTAGTTTGTTGAGGTTGAACGAACGAGCGAAACTCCCTCTCCTCATTAACCTGTGGCACGAACGTAGATAATGTCTTTGTTGAATATATCTTGGGCTAAGAAAACGGTATCAGATATCATCTAACCAAATGTAACAGGCCAGACGATCGATCTCTGTCCGCTTTGCTGTACGCTTATTGGCTGATTTATACAACTGTACGTTACCAGGTTTGTTTCTTTGTCTCTGCGACAGACCAGACTGACAGATAGACACGATTTGCATGATCAACCACTCGGAAAATCTATATATAAACCTACAGACATATGTATACATTTACTGCTTGTAGAACTTATTAATTTTTCATGTTCAGCGATTTGTTGTGCCATTGGCTTTGCAGCTCGCCTTTGTATGTAAATTTAATTGAAGAATAATATTACAATAAAATGTACAGAACCCTGTAGAAATTATACGACTAATGAGCACTTGCTTGTGATTGCTTAAGAGCTTTCCTTTTTGTCAACTTACGAATGTGTCAATTGGTGTTTCCCCGCCGCTCTCGATTAAACTGTCTAAAAACCTTCTCAACTCTCAGTGAACTGAGCCAATATTTGCTCGCAGTGTAAACACGAATATCATACCTTATAAAAATGTTTATTATTTACGCGTAAATTCGCTGAAATTTCAGCTTCAGCATCGGAACTTCACTCAGTAAACGACAGCAAACTGTGCAAACAGAGACGTCTCCATAAGGTTCCTTTTGTTTTCCTTAGGTCTATCTCTCTCTGTGGCCTGTGGCTATGCCCTCCAGCATATTCTCACTTCCCCGGTATTCAATTTCAAAAAGAATGAAGCGCCAGCCAGCCAGCCAGCCAGCCACTCAGCCCAGCCAGCAGTTTTGTTCCCCGCGAGCATGCATTTTGCTTCCGAGATATGACAAATTGGAATTGAAATTCTATATGTTTGTGTTTGCCTTTTGGGGGCTGAGGGCGCCGCTGCGTTAGAAAAGGAAGCAGGCAGCGAGGGTCAAGCGCTGCCTGACTTCTGCTATTGTTTGCCTGCTGCTGCGGTTACTCTGGTGGGTGGCTGTACTGTTGGGTGCTCTGCCTTGGGCAAGGCTAACGATGAGCTGATGGCGGGTGACGGGTGTGGGCGTTGCATTGACGTCAGCCCCCAGACTCGTATTTAAATGAACAATTGTTTAATCAGACTAAGTCATAGACAAAAGTGGCAGTTGGTTGGACTTGTAAGTGCTCTGGAATTTAGCTTTTTATTTCTTTCATTAATTTCATTAAATTAATTAAATAATTGCCTGTACTTTAGTGCATTTTTTCTTTGATTAATTTGATCGTTTGGTTAATTAGTACTCGATAAATATCTGATGTTGGCAGCGATTAATTAGCAGCTCCACCCTGCAGTGAGGTTTGGGCATTTCCTGACAAATCAAAAGTGCTGCACAAGCGTCATAAGATCCCAGTTTTAAATATTTGCCGGTGAAAAAAACATTGGGAAATTATGAAGAATAATGGGTGTAAAAAAATAAAAATGCATTAAATTTTAGCTTGAGCTTGAGTGTTTTTATAGAGATTTTGTATGTGAATGAAGTAATTTTTGCCTGTTTACACCTCTTATGGGATTACTTATGTACATAGTATACATATATTTATTCTCTCTACCCTTTACTCTTTGTTTTACAGTTTAATTGTGCAACAACAACAATACGGAAAACAACAACAGCAGCAGCAATAGCAGCAGCTGAAAAAAAACCAACAATTGGCACAATTGGCGATAAATCAGCAAGCCGCAGCAGCAGCAGCGACAGCAGCAACAACGTCATCAAAACGCAACGCTGACAGCAAAGAAGAAGACGCCGAAGACAAAGAGTAGAAGGAGAAATAACGGTGTGAACTTCAGCAGACGCAGCAGGAAAAAACAAAGAAAAAGCAACAAAACAAACGAAAGAAACGAAACAGCAAACTGCAGCGGGAAGAAAGGGAAAACGAAGACGAAGACGAATCAACAAAAAAAACGAACAGCGAAGCAGCAGAAGACGCAGAAGTGCATAGAGCAGGACACTTGCATATCGATTTGGCGATTCGCTGGAGAGGAGACTATTTTTAGTGATATCCTCCCAGTATCTTGGAGCCCCACAGTTCCAGGCAGTTTGTTGACAGGCAGCTGCAGGCCAGCAGCAGGGGAATGTGGCAGAATGTGGCCATGTAGGCAGCCCTAGACACTGAAAACAGCAAAAACAACAAATAAGAGGGGGAAGGAAGCAAGCGTAGCCCAAGCCCAAGCCCTAGCCACTTGACAGCCACTTGGCATTCAGGCAGCAGCAGCAGCAGCAGCAGCAGCGGCAGCAACACCAGCGAACCATAACCAGGCAGACCGGAAAAGCGTCGATGAGTTGAGGCCTCCAACCTCTCTCATCCTCATCACCCCCCACCCCTTCTCCACTACCTGTACCCTTGCTGGTGCTTTGAAAGCTGAAACTGGAACTGGTAACCCGTCCTACACCACCGTCGTCCCCTGGCTACAATGGACGCATCGCCCACATCCCCTGCGGCAGCTTCTGCACTGGTGTCGGGCAGGTCATTGGACCAGCAGGTGGACGCCTCGCCCAATCACTCGAACTACTCGAATCTCACCAACAACAGCGGCAGCAGCCCAAGTGGGAGCAGCGTCTGCAGTCCCTCCACCACATCCTCATCCTCGTCGGCGCCCCAATACAGCGAGGACCTACGTGCGGCAGCCGCTCGTAATCCCAATCCAACTCAGAATCTAAATCAGAGTCGGAGTCTCAGCGGATCGGCGGGCACAGGCACAGGCTCATCGTCGGCGGGCAAGACCTGCGAGGTGGATGTGGGCGAGGAGGAGCGCGACACCTTCTCGCCAGTCTCCAGTCCGGACTGCAACGGAGCAGCCTCCGCTCTGGGCGCAGAGGTTCTTGCCTCCGGCAGCGACACGGGTCTGGACAATAAAATCTTCGAGGGAGGCAGCGGCAGTGGCAGCAGCAAGTCGAAACCGGCATCCAAAGAGGAGAAGCAGCGCCAAAACGAGGAGATTGTGTGCATGGAAACCTCCACAGTGTCCACAGAGACGGGCTCCTGGGAGTCGATGTATCCAGTGGCCATAGATGCGCCTCCTCCAGCACCATCAGCGCCCGAGGAGGATGAGACAATGGAAGCGGAGACGAGCTGCGTCTTCAAAGGCATCAGCGCCAGTTGTCTGTTGCGGGATCTGGAGAAGCGGGATCAGCCGCTGTCTACATCCGGGACGAGTGCGTGCTTCATAGACGCCTCCTCGCTGCGCGACGAAGATGAAGTGCTGTCCTTTCCCAGTCTCGATGGACATGCACAGGAAGAGGAGAACGAGAACGAGAACGAGCACGAGCACGAAGCGGAGGCAGAAGCAGGGCCTGACGACCACGAGCAGGAGGGAGCACAGGAAGCTTCGCCGACACAGCAGCTGGAGCAGTTCCACAAGGCCTTTGCCAGGTGCAAAGGTTCGAGCCTGAGCCATGGCCGCAGCAGCTCCAACGATGCCGATTCCTCCGACTCCTCGCTCAGCGTCAAGATGCGACGAGAGCAGGAGGAACAGGAGCGCCCAATGGCTGCCATGAGCGGCGGCAGTGGAGGTCCCTACAGCTTCCAGCACAATGCTCAGCACTTTAGTGTGCACCCATTGGGTAGCAGTCCGAAGTTTGCGACCCACCACCACCACTCGAACATCCACCAGAGCCACCACAACAATGGACAGCCCGATCTCAGCTACACCACGGACTACTCGTCCAGCAGCCCGGCTCCCAGTTTGGTGTGGTCGGAGCACAGCAGAGCCACGCATGCGCCGCACTCTTCCGCCTCGGTCTCTGCTTCGACGCCACACAACTCGATGGTGCACATAGAGCCAGCCTCGGGCAGCAACAACAGCTCCATTCACAGAGATTACACGTTGTCCTCGTCGCTGTCGCATCATCGCGACTCGGGCGCCTACTGCAGCGATGCCACAGACTCGCCGTTGCCCCTGCCGCGCACCCCGAAGCGTAGCTCCAAGTTTGATGAGGCCAATCCTATAGTGTCGGGCGGTGCCTCCATCGAGGACTTTAGGCAGAAGCAGTGCGAGAGTCCCAGCATCAAGCGGCGCACGGACACCTGCCCCATTGTGTCCGGTGGCTTTGTCTCGCTGGACTTTGCACCCACGCGTCCCCTGCAGGACGACGATGAGGATGACGATGATGCCGATGATGCGGAAATCTCTGGGGTGGAAATGCGCGTCAAGTCGGGCAACCAAGGCTCGGGTTTGCAGCGGAAAGCGGTGACTGGCATCGCCTCTTGGGTGGTGGACATGAGCGACTGTCGACCGGAGCGGCGTCGCAGCACCAGCAGCACCACCTCCAGCTTCCGCGAGCGCTCCGATTCGAATAGTTCGCACAAGAGCGGCTGCGGGTTCTACGTTTCCCTGGATGATATGGATCGGAAGCCGCAGGAGCCACAGCCACAGGCTAAGCCACAGCCACAGCCAGCATCGCAGCTCAGCAAATCCTACACGGCACCCAAGTCCGCTGGCTTCTTTGTAAATCTCTCTCAGAACGAGGCGGAGGAGGAGGTGCAGCCAAAGGCAACGGAGGAGAAGCAACAGCAGCAGTCGGAGCAGAAGAACATCTTCAGCATGTTCATTGACATTGGCGGCGAGCAGAAGACACCACGCGGAGCCCCAAATGGACGCAAGGAGCCACTCAGCTTGGCCCAACGTTTGTCCAGCTCGTTGAGCGCATCCTCCGCTGCTGTCCAGCGACGCGTTGAGCTGGTTGGCGATGTGATGAAGTCCAGTGCTAGCTCAACGGAGACTCTGATGGCCAAGAGTGCCACACAGAAGGAGCTGCTGGTGCAGGCTGGCGCGGGAGAAAGCAAATCCCTGGACTACAGATGCAATCTCGATCCACCACTGACTGTGGCTGCGCTGCGTCGCATCTCCCAGCAGCAGCGACAGCAGCAGCAGAGCGATGCCACGAAGCGGCACAGCTGGGGCAGCAATGGGAATCCGGAGCACGGAGAAGTAGGCAACGACTGCAAACGTTCCATCAGTCTGACAGCCAACGGAGTAAACGGCAACGACTCTGGTGCGGGTCTGATGAGCATCATTGACAAGCTGCCAATCATTTCGAAGGCTTCCTCCCTGTCGGTGGACAGTTCCCTCTCCCCCTACGACGACTACAGCGGCGGCTCCAACGCGGGTGGGCTGAGCAGTTGCTCCGACGAGGAGCAGCAGCAGCAGCAGCAGCAACTGGTGGGTGGACGCCTGAAGAAGCGGCGCTGCGATGCGAAGCTGAATGAGACATACGACAAGAGCAGCATGGCCTCTGTCACTGAGGGAGTGCTGTCCAAGGATATGTCGCCAGCATCCAACACGGACACGGATGATCTCACCTTCCAGCAGGACGAGCAGTTGGCACAGCAGCAGGCGCAGGCACAGGCACAGACACAGGCACAGGAGCAGCATCCCCTGATTCCCGTGCAGCTGAGCAGCAGCTCGAATCGCACCAGCGTCATGGATACCATCATTGAAGCCAAGGAAACAGCCTCGCCCAAGAAAACAGCCTCGATCACCAATGGCCACACCATGGAGTCGCTGCATGCCACCATTGAGAAGCAAAAGCAACTCCTGGAGACGGTCAACGAGCACGGCGAACAGCAGCAGAAGCAGGCGGCACCAGCTGCCTCCGCTTTTGTGAAGCTCTCGGATATGGATAAGCCCGTGAAGCATGATCTCCAGTCGCCGGATTCGATGAGCAAGAGCGTTGGCAACAACCATCGCAACAGCCACAGCTCACAGCTGGGCCAGCGCCTCTACCGGGATGAGAACAAGGGGCGTCCACACTCGTGGGCCATGACCCGATCCACGGGCAACAGTTTGCAGAACTTTACCAATTCGGTGGACAACATACGCAGCCTGTCGCGGCTGTTCCCTAATTTCTCCAAGGAGTTCTCCAATTCCCTGCCCAACGACATGACGCTGGAGCATGCACAGGCGCAACAGCAGCAGCAGCAGCAGCAGGTGGACTACATACAGACCGATCTCAGTGCCGACTCCAGCCTGGCCTCGAGTTTCAGCCGATCGGGCATGGACGAGTCTTCCATTAGCTGCCGTCAGCCGCGTCGCCTCGGCGAGGATCTGCTCAAGATGTTCCTGCAGGAGATTGCCACAGATATGCTCGTGGAGGTGCATGGCCGTCGCATTCGTGCCCACAAGTGCATCCTGCGCTCCCGCTGCCAGTACTTTGCAGCCATGCTGGCCGGCCATGGCTCCCAGAGTGTGGTCTCCCTGCAGGGCTACTCCTATGCGGCCGTGCACTTTGCCCTGTGCCACATCTACTCGGGTGCCTCGCATCCACCGGACGGCATCAGTCTCATGGAGCTGGCAGCACTCGCCGATCTGCTGGGACTGGAGGGACTCAAGGAGGTCACTTCGCATGCGCTCAAAACGAATTACTGCCACAACTTCCACAAGCCGTGCTCCGGCTGCATCGATGGCATACTGCAGGTGCTGCCCGTGGCTCTCAATCATGCGCTGGACGATCTCTATCGCAAGTGCCTGCGCTGGACCTGTCGCCACTACCTCAAGGTGTGGCCCACCCGTCAGTTTGCACAGCTGCCGCCGGATATTTTGGGACGTTGTCGTCAGCAGATCATTGCCTATATGGTAAGAGCTTTGTCTTTATGCTTCTATAATCTTTACTAATCACTTCTCTTGTTCCCCCGACAGACCTCGGAGACGGTGCTGGACACGGTGCTCGATTGTGAGCATTTGCTGGCGCAGCTTTCGGCCTATCGCTGGGGACACGTCTGCGAGCAGCTGGTGCGGGACATACTGGATGCTGCACACGCCTATGTGGGCGATCACTTTGCCAGCCTCATTGCCAGCGATGCCTTCTTGTCGCTGGGCCACGATCGGAGTCGCCACATTCCCCATCTGGAGGCGCTGCTGCGGCAGGCCGCCTCTGAGTTGACGCCGGAGCAGGCATGCCGCAGCTACCAGCGCGTGACGCGGCTCAATGCGGTGCTGCGTGCCAAGCTGCACAATGTGCCGGGTAATCTGAGCGAGCTGGTGCAGGAGCTGCACGGTCTGCAGGAGGAAGAGCAGCTCGACTGGAAGCCGGACTATGTGCGTTTGGTCTGCGCTTTGGTCTACACCGTCGAGCAGTGCCTGATCCGACAATGTTCGCGTGCGATGCGCGTGACTGCTTGGCAGCGCATGGACCTGGAGCTGCGCAAGAAGATCCAAGGCATGGCCCGGCTCACGGAACCGCTGGACATGAAGCGGCAGGGCGGCAAGGCGGTGGGCAAGGCCTTCTCCTTTGGCGGCAGCACACGCAGCCAGGATTTGGTGCAGATAAAGCTGGCCATTCAGGCGCAATCAAAGCGTGCCCACGCCCAGGAGACACACATGTACAAGGCCACCCAGACACAGGATGCGGCAGCAGCCACCCATCATGTGCAGACAGCGGATCGTGGCGTGCAGGCCAATCACGATGGCCGGGAGGCTGGCAGCAGTGAGTTTCGTCTCTTACTTATCTCTCTGCTGAGTGGAAGATTTTCATTTTCTGCTTTTCCTTGCAGGCAAATTGCTCAAGTCAAATTCGCGCGCCCATGTGCCGCATCGTGCAGCCTCACAGGTTGCCTCTGAGCGTAACAGCATCAATCTGCATCGACGCACGCAGTCCGAGGCGCCGCCAGTTACGCAACACAAAAAGACAGCAGCAGCAGCGGCAGCGGCTCCTACTGCAGCTGAGGCGAAGGCAAAGCCAACGGCAGCACCGCGCTTAGGCGAGATTCGACCCCGCTACTTGGAGCCGCGCAAGCCGAGAGCCACGCTTGGACCCAGTGGACCCGTGCGCAGTGCCACCAGTTCGGGCATACCCGCCAGTGGAGGAGCAAGGAAAGCGCCAGCCAAGAATCTGCACATCTCCTCCAGCGACAGTTCGAGGAACTCGAGTCCGGCGGCCACGCGACGAGTGCAGAATGGCAATGCCACGCGGCTGGGCAACAAGTCCAGCAATCTGTCCATGGACAGCCTCTCCTCACCGGCCAGACGGGCCAAGAGCAGCTCACGCGCCCCCACCAACGACAGATACTCATCCGATCAGAATGTGGACTCGCTGGCGGAGAGCATGAAGAGCTCCGTCATCACCAATAAAACGATCTCACACGAATCCCTATCGGGCAGCTCGAAGCTGGCCCGCATACAGCAGCTAAATGGCCACACGGCGGGCGCCAAGCCATCGACAGCAGGCAAGACGAAGCCGCTGCAGCGTGGCTCCACGGTGGGCAATAAGTCGACGCGGCAGCTCAAGCAGCAGCACAATGCAGTGGCCTCGAATGGGTCGAGTCCCAGTTCGGTGCACACGACCAAGTCGGCCACCAGTCGCCTGTCCTCCGTCAGCAGTACGCTCTCCACACGCGAGCTGTTCAAGCAGCGCTCTATTTCGGTGCCAGCAGGTGGCACAGAGGCGGCACCAGGCAACAAGGGACGCCCCAGCTTCCTGTCGGCCAAGTCGCGCGAGATACTGGCCAAGCGGGCAGAGAAGAACAAGCTCCAGCAGCAGCAGCAGCAGCAGCAGCAACAGCAACAGAAGCAATCCTCTTCGGCTGTCGAAAGTTTGGGGGATGAGCGCGGATCGCATCATCTGCGCTCGTCGGCGGGCCCCCTACGCTCCTCCTCACATTCCGCTGTGGCCAGCATGCTGCAGCAGCACAATCTGCGCAACAGTCTGCCCTCCAATATACCCACACGACGTCCCAACACGCTGCAGCTGAAGAAGACCACCGCCGTCTCGAACGGCATGGCCACCAAGGTGACCACCAACGGCATCAATGGCACGTACAAGGCGGCCCAAGCGGTCAAGCAGAAGCTGGACTTGCTCATCGATGCTCAGTTGGAGGGGGCGCACATGCCCCAGGAGCGAGTTGAATCGAAGCTGGAGCGTTCCAGCACCTTCTGCAAGGATAGCGCTGATCTGGATATTAGCGAACTACAAATTGTGGAGTAAAGAACAAGAGAACAGACAGCAAACGAATGAGGTAGGGAGTGCAGAGGAAAGGAGAGACCTTTGACTACTAATCTGTTAACTTCTTTGCCTTCCAGGTCGTATCAAATATGACCCCAGACAGACCCAGTCCCCCCGCAGAACCGTACACGTCCCATAAGGCAAACACTAGTCAATAATCTAGCATGCGGCTGCCGTTGCAGTTGGTAGTTGGAGAGCATGAAACCATTTAACCATAACAATAAATACAATAATTATTAAACAAGAAGACAAAAATATGTTAACTACTAGCCCTCCCCCCACAAACAACAAGAAGCGAAACAAATTGTGAATCAAATGGCGGCAGCAACAATTACGGAAATCCGCATAAAAATATAATTAATGTAATTGCTACTTAGAGCAGAAAACAAAAGAGTTTATTGCCACGCCCACACCACCCACTTCCACAACTACTCCAAGAAATAATTGTATTGTGTATTAGCTTATTACGATATCGGAAACGAGCAGCGGAGAGGGCCAGCAAAAGGATTAGAACAGATAAAGAAACAAAGAATGGAATGGAAAAATGGAATAACAAATATTTGGTGATATTATTTAGAGTGCGCTTTACTCGTAATGTTTATGTTAAATGCTAATCGAAAAGTGCTTATATTACAGAATATCCAAAATCGAAAAATAGTCTACTAAAAGTACGATCTAGCCCAGCCCCTCCCTCCGCTCTATGCTCTATGCGCTTTGCAAGCTGCATTTAAAGTCTTTTACTCGCCTGCCCCCAAAAATAATATACCATATACCAGGAAGAAGAAAAGAGAGCAAACTAAACGGAAACCATGTCTCTACTCGACTCTATAATAATTTAAGCTTTGGAACTCCTTGTTTTCTTTTTTATACTGTTGTTTATTTAAACTCTCGTAATCGTAATACTACTACTATAAATGGCGCATTACTTCAAGGCAAGGCAAACCAAGGAAACGTCTTTTATACAAACAAACAGATATATTATTTGAATTCATAATATATAATTTATACATTTTAATTGTTTGATATATACTTAATATAATATGCATACAAAAAAGAAGCAAAAAGGCAAAGCGAACGATGATTTTTGTAAGCATTGATCCGTACATTGATATATTGATAATGAAGTGAAAGTGAAAGTGCAATTGCAAGAAGTAATAAATGTGTGTATTTATTAAAAGTTACAATATATCCTGCCATATCTTTTATTAAAATCAGATTCCGATGGTCCTTTCCCTACATTATAAATTAATATGTAATTATCCGTATCGTAAATTGCATCACAATTTTGTTTGTATGGTAGTCCCCCTCCCGCTTTAACGGCGCACGACAATTCGTTTTTCCCGAGGCTGGCAACGCCACAAACGTGCATAACAGCTGATTGCTTTCCACGGAGCGGAGCAATGCATTTTGGTAAATTTTAACTAAACTCAAAGACTAATCTTAGTTTGGTGTTTCAGTCGGGTGTCCCGCCCCTAGGTGGGAGAGTTCTTTAGGGAGAGCGCCCAGTCGTTGAAAACGTTGCGACAGTGGATGACCACGCACTCGTTGCTGCAGTACTCATCCTCCCAGTCCGGATTGATGATTGCCGGCTTGTTGCACTGCTCTCGCGTGCATTTTGGCGCCTGGGCCGCCTCGGTAAGCAATTGGATTTGCTCCGGCGGCGCTTCAGTGGGTGTGGCAGTCGCCACAGCTGTCGTCTGTTCGCCGCTCATTTCAATGTTTGGCGTGATCAGATCCGCTGGCACGGAAGCCTCGGGTACGCTGGCACTAGCCTCCATAGGAGTGACTTCTATTGCCAACAATTGCTGGCGATAGTCGCGCACGCGGCGCACATATTCGTGCTTCTCCTGCTCGTGCTTCTGCATGTACACGTTCTTCTGCGTTTCGTCCAGAGAGTCCCACATGGTCTGCACAATGACCGATATCTGTTCGAGGGAACATGCGGGATTCTGCTGCTTTATGGCCTTCACAGTGTCGTGAAAGAACAGGGCAAACGGTGCCAGAGGCTTTGGCGGTGCTTGGGGCACCACCTGCTGCTGCTGTTGTGCAGCTGGCGGCAGCTGTGTCTGCTGCTGCTGCTGATTCTCTGGCTGCTCGTGCTGCTGCGTCATCATGCTGCTGTGCTCACCGCCATACGTGTTGTCGTTTCCATCCTCCTCGTCAGCGTCATTGAACGTGGAATGATCCAGGCTAAGCATTCTCTGCGACTGCAACGAAAACAAAAGCATTGGGCGTTTGGGTAAGTGATTTCTTTATTAACGCTCAACCATATGGCGGCTATGGCTCACTAGGAACTTCTTCATTTGAGGAGCAGAGAGACCGACTTTATAATCCAATCACAGACGGAGCTGAGCAACTAAACTAATGTACAATTCGCTCGTCCGTCGTCGCCGCCAAGCCCAGCTACATGTGCTTGTGCACCCACAGCGGGGGGAAACGGAGGAGTATGTGGTAACGACGTCGTTGCGTCGACCTGCCCTGCTGCCTGCTGATTGTGTGGTGTGGTGTTGTGTGTGCGTGTTGTTTGTTGATAAGAGTGCCGAAGCGTCGTTGCTGCTGCTGCTGCTGCTACGCTGCTTTGTACCGATAACCGCTCGGGTGGAGCAGGGGGGTGGCAGTGCTAGCTGCATTGGTGTGTGTGCATGCTGGAGGAGTCGTCCAGCTGCTATCCCAAAAACAACTCGCGTTAATACTCCAAGCGTACGGATAGACGTGCGGGTGCGGCTGCGGGTGGCAGCGCGACCCCAAAGTGTGCGATTCCGATCTCTGCGCTTCGTTCAGTTCATTATAAAACCATTAATGACATCGATGCTCATCAATTAATGGAAGTACTCAGCTGTAAAAACCCCGTCTGTCCATCCAGCTATTAGTTCGTTCTGGGACCTGGTCGGCGCTTTGCTGCCGTCTCTCTGCTACTCTCTCTCTCTCTCTCTATTCCCGTGTTGCCTGCTCCAGCAGCACTTACAGCATGGTTGGGGGGCTCCGTGGGCATGTCGAACATGTCATCTCCGAACGAGGGCGCGTGAAATTGGTTCAATTGATTCATTGCAGCTATCCTTATTTACAAAAATTTCAATAATTTCTTATTTTATTGTGGTGTGAGGCTTCTTCAGTGTGCCCGCTGGCTGTTGAAGTCAAAATGCGGAAGGGTCTGCGGTCTTTTACAGCACTGAAAACGAACCATAATGTAAAATTCATGTAGAAAAATATCTTCGATATCGATGCGTCGGTAACATCAATCCGAGTCGGAAGAAAGTTTCTCATGAAAGTTTCATTATTTTATATGCGAAATGTATATACGAAAATTAGTTCAATGTACATATGTTTACATAATTTATTTTTATAAGCAGCTGGGAAAACGGATTTTTAATATAAACAAATGGAAATAGGGTTTAAATTATCAAAAGACATTACATTGCCATTCACCTTTTCAGTTTTAACCTTGTTTGGCAAACAATCCAATAAAAATAAGTCATAAAAACAAGCCAACACTTGTGTAGAATTGATTGATAAATCGGATTAAATTATATTTTTGTACCGCTGAGAATCCTAACTAGTTAGTCATATTATAACATTAAAATCGTGGAAAATTATTTATTCGGTGCAATTTTGAGGTCTCATAGTTATCCCCACTGTTAATTCATTGTTGGTTCCAGGGGTATGTTAAATTAGCGGCGAGCTGAACTTTTTCATCTGCAAAGCTAGGCTCAGCCTTGACAGCCACACATTTTTCCAGAGGCATGTTAATTTAGCAGCGAACTAACAGCGAGTGAAAACGAGAGTGAGATCTGCACAGCTACATACATACATATGTACATATGTGCATACATACAAGCGCATGCTCTAGCTCTGCCATGAACTTTCGTTCTTTGCTGCAAGAGGTAGAAGCTTGCAATTTCCCACGGTCTTTCGTTTTACGGTGACCACCCACACATGCATATTCACTGTTCGGCCACCCACTTTCGCTCTCGCTTTTGCTGCGAGATTGCGCTAGAGACAAGACGAGCAGAAACGAAGGTCGCTCTTTTGGTTTGAGCTGCAGACGCATGCACTCTTATCACAGCTTAATCAGTTCTCCCTCGGTTCATCAGTCAAAGCGGTCATTAAGCGGCGGACAATTAAATCGTATGTCAGCAGCTGCGCGCGCCTCCATCCCATACATTGTGCGTGTGTGTGTTCGTGCGTCTTACCGCGGCTTTTAGCTGCCAGCGCAGGCACACGTGTTTTCGTTTCGTGAAGTAAAGCTTCTTGCAAACCAGTCAGAAATGTACGGAAAAGTAAAAGAAACACCGTGTGATAAGTTTACCTAGTGTTTAAAATGAAAATCGGCCGGAAAAGTGATGGCCGTACAAAGTGCAACAAAAATAAAAAAAGATCGCTGCAATTAGCTCCCTTTTTTTTATGTGAAAAAAGTCCCGTACTTGAATCGCAGTCCTAGCGGCGCTGCCAGCGCATGTTTCCAGTGAAGTGCATTTGAGTGAAAAGTGGGAGAAGCAAAAGCAACGGGATTATGGCATGATGGGCCATTCATCTTGATTTTTTTTTCGCGAGTGAGAGAAGTGTCAGTGTAAAAAAAAACCAAGCGGCAAGTAGACTAACCATAAACTTCAAACCGTTCCAGCGGTGCTGCCAGCGTGTGTTTCCAGTGAAGTGAATTTGAGTGAGGAGTGGGTTTTTTTCTCAGTTTTTTGCTTTTTTTCTGTAAGTGTAAATGCAAGGCAATTTTGGACAAATGAAGTGAAAGTGTCAAATAATTCAATATCTACCATACAACAACAAAAACATGACAATGCAACAAAAGAACACTATAAGTAATATTCAACGCTAAATAATTATGGGAACCGGTGAGTCCTTTTATTTCATTTTACTCTTCATTGATTTCTTCTTTCATATTTTCTTAGAATTGTATATATATTTTCTTAGTGTTTCAGTTATATTTTCTTGCATTTTATATGTATTTTCTTACCTTTTATTTGTATTTTCTTAGCATTTTATTTATATTTTTTTATATTTATATTTTCTCCTATTTCTTCCTGGCACAGTCCATTTATTTATTTTAGTTCATAGGTCATAGATTAGGGTGTTTATCATGAGACACTTATTATTGAATTATTAAGAATTATTCGTTTTCGGGGAACTTCTTGGCTGTACGAACCAGTTTTTAAATGTTGCTAATTCCTCTGCTGAGGTCGCTGTAAGCATTTTTGTACCAGATTTCAAACTCCTGCAATGTTACCGATTCCCGAGCTGTCAGTGTAAACGACATGCAGTTCTCTGCTGCATTGAATATGAAGGATTTCGCAGTGTTTTAAATGGTTTTTAGAGTAAGGTTGCATATGTTAAGGACGAACGAACCACTTACTATTCTTGTAGGCTTGGCTCTGACGTTGAAACACCATTGCCGTAGGTTTGTGCATGTTTTGAAACAATGTTAAAGCTTGTGCAAATATTTGTTTAAATGGTAATGGTTGACTATGTAAATATAAATCATTCATTGATTTTTGAATCAATTTTCATACTTTTTAGACCCCATACACATATTGAAATTGCCAGTTTGGTTCGGATTATTAATGGCGCTCAACAGCTTCCGATTCTTTGCCAGCTTCCAAAGGTATCAGCGATTTAGCACGGGCGGTAAAAATGTCGGTGGCAGCGGGCGCAAAGACGATGAGCATGGCACACCGAAACTTGACCAAAAAGATGCAAATATGGATGTTGATGTCGGTGCCATCAATGCAAAGCATATGGAGAAATTGTTTGCAAAATGGCTTCAGGACGAGGCCTCCATTCATGAGGTAATTTGTGACTAAAAGATGCCAATTCTTTCACCAATTATTTTCCCCTTTCATCTTCAGTCATGGCAAAAATACTTTAATGAAATGGTTAAGGAGAACTTCAAGGAATGCTCTAAGGATATATCGAAACCTGACACTGATGCCCTGCCAGGAGCTGTCAAGGATCTAACAAAGAAACAAACAGAACCAGAAAGTGCGCACATCGCTTCCCCAATTTATTCTGCAAAAGATTCCACATCAGGTCAACCAATTGCATCTAATCCAGATAATCCTGTAGTGCCATTAATGGCTGAAAAGAATTCAACAAAGAGCACAGTAGATGCACCTACAATGGAGTATGTAGATCTCTTCTCGAAGCTGGGAAAATCAAAGGCACCGCCTTCGATTGAACTGCCAGGGTCTCAGAGAAAATCCGCCACAACGCCCACTTCCTACTTCGATACAATTGACCCTCAAAGTGATATTGTCATAGGCCCAACCATCCTCAGTCCTTTTGTGGAATCCAGTTCGAGTAAGGATAATAAAACTACACCACCAAAGACCACGACGCGCGAGCTACTGGGCAAAATATCGAAAAATGTCAACGAAAAGGTTGAAAAAGCAAAGAAAATTATGACAAAGTCGCAGAGGTTGCCCAAAACGCTGCCCAAGAAGAACCCACAAATGTTAAAGACGGAAAGCAAGCCCAAGAAATCCAAGAAAATGTTTAAAATTTTGAAGACTCAAATTGCCGATGATGAAAAGGAAGCAGAAACGCAGGCAGAAAAACCTTTTGCGAAGAATAAAAATCAAATTTATCTATATAAAGTCGGCTCCAGTGGAGCAGTGGACTATTTTAGGCCAATACCAGACCGTAGTTCTGAAGTGAAGAGTCCGTTGCCTGGCAATAAACAATTGCCAAAAAAAATCGGCACAAAGGAAAAGGATACAGAAACGATGCCAAATGCCAAATATCTGGAATCAAATATGCTCAACCAAAACGAGACCCTGTCCACCGCTGATGATGCATTCGAAGCTTCTAAGACTGAGAAAAAGCCAAGCACAAGGAGAATGGAAAGCATGGAAACTGGTTTAGAGGACTTTGAGTTGCCCGAATTCGAAGATAAATCTTTGCAAAGGAAACGGAAAGCTGTCGACAAGGAAAATAAACGTAAGTCTTCAGAAAAGAATGTAAAGAGTTCAATATCAGTACACAAATCGGTGTATAAAATGGCAAACAATGTTAAAGCCGGTTCGGATTCATCAGAGAAGAAATCCCGTGACTATAAAGCGAGCCACAAACCTGGGCCCAGTGTAACTTATCGACAATTGGCAGTGAAACATAATAAAATGAAACCCAAATCGGGCAAAACTCGCACGCTAAATCCTATTAAATTAACTTCACCTGAGACAGTGGAAACAGATTCTGTGGACAATAATTGGGCAGACGAAACGGACGAAAATACGGTGAAATATTTGAAAAAGTCTGAGGAAAACAAAACGAAAGCTGAGGACACCTTCACTCAAGAAATGGAATCTGCTTCTGATTCATTTGAAAAGAGACAAGAGACGGGAGACAAATCGCCGAAGGACATAAAGGAGAAACTAGCAGTCCGTTACAAACTTTCCTCAGACTGTGACAATAGTTCCTTTAATCCGAATAAAGGCAGTTTGAAGAACACAGTGACAGATGAGAGCACAATCCGATACGTTCCAAGTGATGCCAAGCCAAAGAGCGCCCCGAAAGATTCTCTCGGAGATGATAAAACAAATCCAGAGGAGTAGCCTGCGAGGGAAGCTTAAGTTTGACACAAACCGAAACTGAGGAGCCTCCGCCTCAGCTCTTATCAGTATAAACAATTTGTTTAGAACTAATCTAAATTCTTTCTACAAAATTCAAAATTAAATCGTTGTTCGGATAGCCGCAGCCCAAAAGACGATGAACCAATGCCGGCTCAGGAATACGATGCTGTTCAGAATACCGTTCAGGGCCCTTGTGGCACTGAAATGGATGAGACACAACAAGTCGTGGCTTCAGTCTCGACAGTTGAGAACCGATTCCAGTTGTAAGGCACCAAAGGCACCCGCTAAAAGCAAAGATGCCGACAGTCTGCTCAATGGCAGCAATGCCAACTACATTGACGGACTCTACAGCAGATGGAAGGCCAATCCCAAGTCCGTGGATCCAGTAAGCAAATAAACTAATGAATACATCGCTTTACTCATAGTTTGCTCGTTTCTAGTCCTGGGATGCCTACTTCAGCGGCAATCCGCGCGGCGCCTCAACAAAATCCTCCGATAAGCGGAAGTATCGTCGCCCACCGATGGCACCGTCACCAGCGATTACAACTCGAACGGAGCTCCCATCACGGAACATATCGACCACGAACCCGGTCTCGACAACTGCAGCAGCGCCACCACCAGCAATGGACTGGAATTACATCGATGACCATCTCACGGTGCAGGCCATCATAAGAGCCTATCAGACGCGCGGACATTTGGCCGCCGATCTCGATCCGCTGGGGATTGTGCAGGCGCTTGGCACGACCTCCGTAGATGGTGCCAGGAGGAATGCAACCGAATCAGTGCTCCGACAGCATTATACCTATGTGTTCAGTGAGTAAAAGTGGGCAGAAGTAGCTGTCAGATTTCCTAAGGTTCCTTTTGCTTTGCAGACAATCTGAATGCCACGTTTAAGCTGCCCTCGTCCACGATGATTGGCGGCTCTGAGCAGTTTCTGCCACTCAAGTAGGTTTTCCTTTCACTACACGCCACTCCCTGCACTTCATTGTCATCTGGTTTCGTTTCGTAGACAAATTCTGGATCGCTTGGAACGCATTTACTGCGGCCACATTGGCGTGGAGTACATGCAGATCACATCGCTGAACAAAACCAATTGGATAAGGGAGCGCTTCGAGAAGCCCGACGCCATCCAGTTCAGTCCCGACGAGAAGAAACTCATACTGGAGCGGCTGACACGTTCTACGGGCTTTGAGAACTTTCTGGCCAAAAAGTTCTCATCGGAGAAGCGTTTTGGGCTCGAGGGTTGCGACATTATGATACCCATTCTGAAGGAGATCATCGATCGCTCGACCTCGCTCGGCGTGGAGTCCGTAATGATAGGAATGGCACATCGGGGGCGACTCAATGTGCTGGCAAATATTTGCCGCAAGCCCATTGCCGATATTCTGGGACAGTTCCATGGCCTCAAAGCCACCGACTCGGGCTCGGGCGATGTCAAGTACCATCTGGGGATGTACATGGAGCGCTTGAATCGGCTGACCAACAGGAATGTGCGCATCACGGTGGTGGCCAATCCCTCGCACTTGGAGCACGTCAATCCGGTGGTGTTGGGCAAGGCTCGGGCCGAGATGTACCAACGCGGCGATACCACTGGGAGCAAGGTGCTGCCGATAATCATCCACGGTGATGCCTCCTTCTGTGGCCAGGGCGTTGTCTACGAGTCGTTGCATCTGTCGGATCTGCCCAACTACACGACCCACGGCACCATACACGTGGTGAGCAACAACCAGGTGGGCTTCACCACAGATCCACGCTTCTCGCGCTCCTCCCGCTACTGCACGGACGTGGCTCGAGTGGTGAATGCGCCCATCTTCCATGTCAACTCTGATGATCCCGAGGCGTGCATCCATTGTGCGCGTGTCAGCACCGATTATCGTGCCACATTCCACAAGGATGTGGTCATTGACATCGTGGGCTATCGTCGCAATGGCCACAACGAGGCGGATGAGCCCATGTTCACCCAGCCGCTGATGTATCAGCGCATCAGCAAGCTAAAGACCTGCATGGTCCTGTACTCGGAGAAGCTGATCAAGGAGGGTGTCATAACGGCCGCAGACTATAAAGCCATGATTGCCAAGTACGATAAAATATGTGAAGATGCGTGGGAGGAGTCCAAGAAGATGTCCACCATTAAGGTTTGAAGGGGTCTAATCTTCGGTTCGAATATTCCCGCTTAACCTCTTTGCCCTTGCAGTATTCCTCCTGGATTGACTCACCCTGGTCGGCCTTCTTTCAGGGCCGCGACAGGCTGAAAATGTGCCCCACAGGCGTTAGTTTGGAAACGCTCAAGAAAATTGGCGAAATCTACTCGAGTCCGCCGCCCAAGGAGCACAAGTTCAAGGTGCACAAGTGAGTCGGGACGGAATGCTGGATCATACACCCGGCATAATTCCACTAAATTTGAACTCTTTCTCAGGGGCATTTTGCGCATTCTGGCGCTGCGCAGAAAACTGGTGGAGTCCAAGCTGGCTGACTGGTCGCTGGGCGAGGCCTTTGCCTTTGGTTCGCTCGTAAAGGATGGCATACACGTGCGTCTGTCCGGTCAAGATGTGGAACGCGGCACGTTCTCGCATCGTCATCATGTGCTGCATCATCAGTCCCGAGACAAGGTGCACTACAACTCCATAGAGCATCTGTATCCCGATCAGGCGGACTACAAAGTGTCCAACAGTTCGCTGTCGGAGTGCGCGGTGCTGGGCTTTGAGCACGGCTACTCCATGGCCAATCCCCACTCGGTGGTGATCTGGGAGGGGCAGTTTGGGGACTTTTGCAACACCGCCCAGTGCATCATTGACACGTTCATTGCCAGCGGCGAGACCAAGTGGGTGCGACAGTCCGGCATGGTGATGCTGCTGCCCCACAGCCTGGAGGGCATGGGCCCGGAGCACTCCTCCGGGCGCATCGAGCGTTTCCTGCAGATGAGCGACGACGATCCCGATGTCTTTCCGGACACCTGCGACTGTGACTTTGTGGCCCGTCAGCTAATGGAAATCAACTGGATTGTGACGAATCTCTCCACGCCAGCGAATCTCTTTCACGCTCTGCGCCGCCAGGTGGCCATGGCCTTTCGCAAGCCTCTCATCAACTTCTCCCCAAAGTCCTTGCTGCGCCATCCGCTGGCACGCAGCCCCTTTCGTGACTTTAACGAGTGCAGCGAGTTCAAGCGACTCATTCCCGATAGCAAGACGGCCAACAAGCCCGACTGCGTGAACAAGTTGATCTTTTGCTCGGGCAAAGTCTACTACGATCTGTTCAAGGAGCGGGAAGACCACGAGCAAGACGAAACGGTGGCAATCGTTCGCATTGAGCAGGTAGAAGCCAGAACCTCTCGCATGTATTGGATTAATATTACCATTTATTCTTTCGTTTAGCTCTGTCCCTTTCCGTATGATCTGGTCATGAAGGAGCTGGAATTGTACCAGTCTGCGGAGCTGTTGTGGGTTCAGGAGGAGCACAAGAACCAGGGTGCCTGGTCCTATGTGCAGCCACGTTTTGACACGGCTCTGATCAAAAAGGAGAACGAAACGTGAGTGATTCGAACAGTGCGTAGATGCTAAGACACAGACACAGACACAGACACAGAGATTTCGCTCAAATGCCAAGGTGCAATGTCAGGCCTTGGGCTACTACTGTAGCTGATGATAGCCCCCGCCGCCTAATGATTTAATTCAGGTGCGATTATCGTTGACGCGCCTTCAAAGTGTCAATCGAAATGCTTGCGTCGACTGTGACGATTCTTCTCGCTGTCGCACGCATCGCCCAGAGACATGATCCAATACGATCCCAAAGTTTCGTTTGACACTTTTCAAGATGGCGACGGTTCGTCGTCGTCGTGGCGGTTCGTGTGTGACGCCATCTACTGATTGTGATCCTTGGGTAGCTGTAGCTCTGCTCTGGCACTGGCACTGGCGCATGCCAACACCAACAATTTGATGGATTTTTTCACTTAATCGTTTTGCTCTTTCTCTCTGAGATCCTCTGGCACTTTATCGGGTATTTCATGTCATAATATCTGCAGCATATAGTCCCTGTCCCTCACTTTCTTGGTAACATTTCAATTAGTTGTCTGTCTGTCCCCTTCAATTTAATTATTATTACCAAACAAATAGCTAAAGTCCTATACTAAATCTTCTCAAATTCCCCTCTGTTTCCCCCTGCCAGGGTACTTTTGTAGTCGATCCCTAAATGTTATATTTTTGTTTCGATTTTTGTTTTTGTTTCTTGAAAAGAAAACGTGTGCCAAGCAAATTCTTGAAGGTTGTTTGTTGTTCTGCCCTAAAGATTTATGGGTGTGCGGCCTGATCTTGTAAATTGTTGAGCATATTTTGGCGTATATTTACGTTCGACCAGCGGGTGAGTGAGTGAGTGAGTGAGAGATTCGACCTCGTCAGAGTTCAGAGTTCGCCCCCGCAATAGTGCCTTGACTTCCTCGTTGAGCGAAATGTCGGTTCAGGGACAATGGCTGTCGCTTCGATACGATTAATTTGTGCAGCAGCTCCAATAATTTGTTTCAATTTGGTTTTTGCGTTGTTAGTAATTGGCCCGGCACGGTCAGGCACGATCCGATCCGATCCGATCCGGTCCGGTCTGTCCGGCCTTGTTGGCAGATTTGCACTTTGAACAAATCGCGGACAGCCCCATGTCGATGTTCGAATTTCGCATTGTATAAAACTAGCGCAAGGAACTTGGCACAGTTTTACTCGATACTAAAACAGAAAGCAGTCCCCAACCGCATCCACATCCACTGCCCCTGGCCGCAGATATGTGGACTTGTAGTTGTTGCTGGCGTTTGTCTGTTGAATTAACGATTGGCATTTCTTTTTGCCAGATCTTTGAGTGTTGTCCGCACAACCCACAATCCACAATCCACACATAAAACTTATAAGTAGTAAAATTCCGAGCACCCCGACTACGACATTGGTCCTGGTCCGTGTCCGCAGTCTCTGATTTATTTAAAATATTACCACACCACAGCTTCCCCTGAGCAGTTTTTATTAAATAAACATGTGGCGGAGAAACTCGTATGATTTTTATGTTTCAAAACTATTCTGAAAGTACTTTGCTCTGCACTTGAAATCTTTGATGTGTTGAATGTTTTCTTCTGTTTTCCTCCTCACAAATGCCATACATACGACGAGAGTACACACGAGCATGAAATGTGTTTGGATTTTGTTTTATTCATATTAATGTTTGTATCTGGTTGCCAGCCCTGTTCGCAAAATTGAATGAAATAACTTGCCGGGGGGCACTGGCGCACACTGGCGCACACGAAAAAGGCCTCAGGAATGTAGCATATTTGCGGGTCTCTCATCTATTATAATACACGTACGTATGCCTCATTCCTATAAGCTATGTACATTGTACAGATATATGTATAGCTGGCTGGCATGTTTTGTGCATTTTCTTTGTTGTTTTTTGCCAGGAGAGGGGAGACAATAATCATGAGAGATATTGAAATGTCCGCGAATGTTTGGCTTTCCCTTTTGCGGTTGTTGTTTCCCCCCTGTCCGGGCCAATGCACATTAAAGTCCCGCCAAAGTTTTATTAATGGCACGCATCGTGGTGAGGATCGGATCTTTCTGTTGTTCTGTTGTAGTGTGGGTGGCCAAGCACCCATATATAATAATTGTCAGTGATTTTATGAGATATGTTTATGGAATTTATTGCCCCCCCCTGGACAAGGGGCAGTCGAAATATTTGGTAGCGCCTTTGGCTTGTTCTGTTTTCTTTATTCATTCTCATTCATTGCGATATTTCCTCCAATCGAGTGGCTATTAATAGGCCGGGAAAAACAACAGCAGTGAGTGAATAAATGCAGAATGGGCGGCCAGGGGGAGGGCATCAATCGCCAAATGGGAAACGTTTTTGAAATAAACAGATTCATAAAATTTTTATGAGTAATTCGATTTGGAAATAGTTGCTGCTGCTGCTGTTGTTGTTGATGATTGAAATGGAAATGGAAACGGAAAGAGTTTGCAACGCAAATTAGTGAAATATTTTGTCGCTTTATTTAACATTAAATTGGTTTTTGTTTCGTTACACATACTTAAATTGTAGACTCTCCACTAAAGCGTTGAACGAAAAGGAGGAACACGTACACACATCGAGCTGATACTGGAATAATTTACAATCTACTAACTTTAGGATTTAACTACAGGCTAGACTATTTACAGGAAGATTACACATATGCGAGACTAGAAAGACTATAACATAACTGAATGTCGAGTTGAGATCCTTAAAAAAGTGCCTTCTTCAATGAAAAAACATTTTTTAATTCTACTCAATGGCTAGAGAGACACAGGCACAGGGGCACACAGGGACACAGCCACTCGGGACTCGGGACTCGCCTCTACACCATATTCCATATGCTGTAGCTGGCCGCTCGTCGCTCCTCCTCGGCCACCTGCTCGTAGTCAATCTCCAGGTATTCCTTGTTGTCGAAACGCACCTTGCGGCCCGTGTACTTTTTGATGTAGCTGACATGGGCGGCCACCTCCTTGCCCTCGATCTCCAGCTTGTACGAAATGCTGGTGATGCGCTCGAGCACCCGGCCACGCTTCCAGCGCACCTGGGTCTTGCGGTAACGCTCCGCATAGAGCACCAGATCTCCGATCTTGTATTCGCGCACATGCAGGCAGGACTTGAGCGGCTTCACCGGCACTGGCTCCTGCTCTGGCTGCTGCTGCTGCTCCTTGTCTTCCTCCTCGTCGTCAGTCACATAGGCAATGGCCTTCTCGATGGTCTCGATTTCGGGCTCCTTGGGCTCCTCCGGCTCTGGCTGTATGAAGAATGTGTCGCTGATGGAGAGGCGTCGCTTCTGTCGCTTGATGATCACCTTCTTTTTGATCTTTCGCGGCTTCTTTGGCGCGGGAGTGGGCACTGCCTCGAGCTGAGGTTCGAGCTCAGATTCGGGTTCGGGTTCGGGTTCGGGCTCTGGCTCAGGTTCGATTTGGTTGCTCTCCTCGCTGGGCGCTTCTCCGGGTGTTGCATCCCCTACGACTTGTAGCTGCTTCTCCTGTGGCTGCTTCACTTGCTGCTTCTTGGGCGGCGTTAGCTTGTTGATTCTCGAGGAGAGATCGCTGATCTTGTTCTTGTCCCGCAGTATGTTGCTCAGCCTGCTCTCCTCCTCCTTCTCCCGCGCCTTGTCTATGGAATTCTTGCGCACAAGCTTCTTCAGATGCGTGGGCTTCTTCTTGGTCACGGACAGATGATCCGCTTTGTCGCCATCGTGCGGCTGTTCAACAGTTTCGATCTTGACGGGCTGCACCGGACCCGCAAGTACTTTCAGCTCCGGCATGGTGGCAAGACTGTCGCTGGTATGCGCCTGTGCGTTGTCTTTTGTAGCTGCCCCGGATTGGATTTGCAGTGGCTGTAGCGATGACTCTTCGTGCGGCACTTCGCTCAATGTCGCTGCTATTTGTGGCGCTGACTGTTCGACGATCGACTGGGAGACGGAGGCACTGGCGGCGCCTTCAATGTCAACACCGATGGCCACCTGTTGGGGCGTTGCTGCTTTCACCTGCGTCTCCGGAACAATCTCCGACTGATTAATGGGTTCTTTGGACTCGCTTAATGATAATTCGCTGATAATTATTGCAGGCACTGCCTGTGTTGGGCTGATCTCGGATGTGGCTGCCGGCACCACCAGCACCGTTTCGGCCACCAACTCCGCTAGTTTGAGGCTTGCGCGTCTGCCTCGTTCGCTGGCTGGCGCTTGATTGGCAATCGCAGGGGCAGCCGCCGCCTCATCGATTTGCAATCGTTTTGGCTGGGCCTCTGCTGCATCTCCTTCGTGGCTTTTGGCAGGCGTTTTTGTGTCGCTTTTGGCTGCCACCGCATTGACCTCTGCCGTCGCCAATTGTTCAGGTTCTGGCTTGACCGCTGCAACCATCGATGTTCCCATCGTCTCCTCGGCTATAGATTGTTTCTGTGTTTTGCCGGAAGTTATTGGCGTTGCATTGATACTCATTAATTTCTGCTTCTTTTTGCGCTTGACAATCGCCTCCGAATCGGAGGGTCGCCTTTGTGTGATGAGTGCATCGATCTGGCCGACTGCCGGCTCGATCTTGATCTTGGATGGCTCCACCGCAGCAATTGAGGCACGTCGCGGATTCTTCACCTTTGACTTTACCACCAACACTTTCTTTTTGACACTCTTGATGGTTGCTGGCGCTGCTGCTGCTGGCATTTCTGACTCATTTGGCAGTGCGTTTGTGTTTGGTTTGGGTTCTTCGGTTTGTTTTTGGGTGACTTCTGCGGGTGGCAAGGTCTCCGCTTCAGCTGCTTTCACGTTCTTTGCCTTGAGTTCCATTTGCACCTTGGCCAGGAAGTCCAGTTTGGCCTGGGCTTTGCTTTTCTCTGAGAGTTTTGTTTGCTCTGTAGTCCTGACTGGCTCCCCATTGACTGGCGTTGGCTCTGAGTTGGCTGCTGCTCCATCTTCTGGGAGTTTTGTCGCAGTTTTAGCCACTTCCTTGTATGTTTCTGTTGCATCATTTAACTTTGGTTTGATATCGATTGAATTTTCTTTAATTTCAGCTCTTTCTGGTTCTTCCTTTTGGTCCTTGAGATCGCTGGCAGTCGTCGGTACATGGTTCTCCCTGATTGATTCAGCTTTGGCCTTCTCCTTCTCCTTCTCCCTCTCCCTCTCTCTCTCCTCCTCTGCCTCGTCAAAGTAGCTGCGACGTCGCACCTTGCTCACAAAACGGAATGTCACCGGAGCCAGAGAAGGAGCTGCTGCCGCCGCTGTGGCTGCAGCACTCTCCACACTCTCAGCTGACGGCGGTCCCTGCCACTTGACGCCCGCTGCCTCCGCCTCGCTCTCCGTGCTGTATTGCTTGAGCACGCCCTTGACCTCATTGAGTGCGCCCGATATGCGTGCCTTGAGCTTGTTTAGACGCTCGATCACATCCTCGGGCTTCTCCTCCACCGATTCCTGGGAGCGCATGCGCCGCTGTCGACGCAGACGCGTTCGCTCCGGCAGCACCGTGTCGGGATCAACGGTGATGTCATCGCGGCTGCTCGAACTCCGTTTTAGTTGTTCACCCAGCAGCAGGGCAGGTGTGATGGCAGGCGGCACTACATCTAGATCCACATTGCGTATACGACTGATGGCACTAAAGCGACTGCTGGGAGGAGTTGCCAGTATCGGAACAGCAGCTGGGATTGGTGTTATGACGGGACTGCTCAAGGGCAGACGTCTGCTTGGCAGTGTTGTGGCTGCAGTCTTCAGTTCGTACTTCATCTCGCTGCTGCTGGCATGGACAGGGCTACCGCTGTCAACGTTTCCTCCGCTGCTGCTGTTGCTGCTGCTGCTGCTGCTGTTGTTGTTGTTGTCATCCACCTCAGTGGGCGGTTCGATTTGGTCGGGATAAACGACGATTGATTCACTGTCCCGATCGTCACTCACTTTGCTCACAGTCATGTCCGCACACTGCAGCTGAGCACTCGCTGCCGCTACCTCTGCCGCTCCCTCTGCCTCTGCCTCTGCCTTAGACTCACTCCAAAGGTTGCCCGTGTTGCACAGGAATTCGATTGCTTCGGTCAGCAGTTCAATTAGCTCAAAGTCGAGCTGCGTTTGGGACTGGGAGCCGACGACAGCCTCGTCTAGGAACGCGCGAACGGAAATTTTGAGTAATTCTAATTTTGGACGCGTTACTTGGGCACTGGCACGGCGACTGCCCACCAATGATCCGTACTCCGATTGAACGTGTCTGCTGGCGCCGTCGCTTAGACGAATATTAGTCGGAATTTGTTTCGGATCGTCCACTTGCTCTGGCGACGTTTCGCGCGCGTCTGAGAGATCGACGGGCAGCTGTTGCTTCGACCGCTGCTGGTGGTTGCTGGCCGCCACTGCCCCATCTATTGTTTGCTCCCCAGCTAAGCATATTGACTGTAGCTGATGCTGCCTCTCCTGCTCTTGATGTGCCAAATTGTTGCTCCCCTCTTTAGTCATATTTAGCTCATTATGATCTTCGGGCCGTCGTCCATGCTCCATCTCCGCCCCCCCAAAGACCTTCTCTAATTTGCTTTGCTCGCATATTTCGCGTTTATTTTTGGACCCATCCACATCCATGGCGTAGTCGCTGTCTCTGTCGTTGTGGTCGTGTCGCTGGCCGAAGAAGGCGTCATTACAATTTTCCGCCTGTTGATGCTCGATTTCCTTCTGGTCGCCAACACCTTCGGCATCGGACACGTTCAAGTTTAATGCTGCTGCTGTATCGCGCTGCCAACGCTGGCGACGCCCCTGAGCTGCGAGTTCATTATCAAACACCTTATGTACATCATCATCATTATGAACAGCATTCAGGGCAGCATCACCTTCTGCTCCGCCTGTCCACTGCGGATTCGTGTCTATTTTGGGCTTTGTGTCGCGGCTCATCTGCGTCACTGTTGTTGTTGTGGGCACCACATCCGTTGGCCGCACCTTCTGCCCGCCGCTTGGAGCTCCTCCGTGCTGTCCGGCGACCGTTCGATGATGATGTTGATAATGATTGGGAAAGCTAACAAATCGTTTTTTAATTATGGGAAATTCTTTGAGCGCCTTCGATGCGGGTGGCCACCACAGCTGCCCCCGTCGAGTCATCGTTGTTTGGCGCTTTGCAGCATTGGAATTCCGCTGCGGCATTTGGCTCAGTTTGGGAAAGGTGAACGTGGAGGAGGGAGCATCATGTACCTGTTGAGATTTGAGGGGAAATCTCTTAATCATGTCTGAAATGTGCTCTCGCTTGGGGCTAGTGGGAGGCCTCAGCTTCGGCGTACTTTCACCAAGATGCAGGGGAAACTTTTGCTGGCATTTCTCTTCATTAACATTTCTGTGCAAGGGAAACCTTTGAGCATTCGCCTGGTACTCATATTGTTTGTATATTCCTTTTGGTGGCGTGTTCTTTTTGTCACTTTGCTGGCACAGACACAGACGCAGCTCTGAGTGATTGGTGGGGAAGCGCGAACGCGTGACCCAGCGGTCGGGACGCTGCGGAAATTGTAGTCCAACATTCGGCACTTCCGGCCCCATCACGGATGATTCAGGCTTTTGATTTATGATGCCATCAACAACAAGAATCGTAGAATTATGAGCAGCAGCTGCTTCTGTTTGTGGCATTGCTACTTGTGGTTGCTGCGCCTCTCCCTCAGCCCCAAGGCTGCTGCTCAATGACAGCGCTGACTGTGCCGGGCTTTTGCTCTTCTTTTGACCTATTTTCACGTGGATCTTCGGGGTCTCGTGCAACACTTTCAGCGCGATCCACTCAAGCGGAACGCGTTCTATGACAATCGATATGCGGCACTCAACACGTTGCAAGCGAAACTGTCTCGCCAATGCAATCATTCAACAGCAGCCCGAGAAGAGCAAGAGCCAAGAGACTCGACTCGATTGCGATTTGCATTTGCTCGCCAAATCAATGATCAGCTCGGGCAGCAAGTTATGTGGCATGCCATGCCTCTTATTCGAAGCATAGATGCTGTGCAATTTTGATTAAAAGGTTGCCGCTTCATTCATTCAAATTCCCTCTACAACAAACACTGCAGGGTATGTGCACAATGTTTATAAATTGTGTAGAAACAATACAAAAACTGCAGCATGGTCAACGGAGGTTGCGCGTGTTTTTAGATGCCACAAAGACAGACAAACATACATTATGTACTCGTGCTCATGGTATGTATAAGATCCATTTTATATAGACTAAATAAATGTGTCGACTTTGCCAAATGGTTTGCTCTTTTTTTGCAGGCCACAAAAAAGAACAGAACGATAGATAGGAATAAAAATCAGCTAGCGTCGCCCAGCAGCGCCAATGCTATTGTTTAAATAGACCCACATATCGCCTTTATACTAGACCATTTAGCAGACATTGGGTAGATATATTCGGGTGTTTGCTTTGTGACATTCCCTTGCCAAATTGTGCGCCGTGCCGGCTGTTCGGCGGCGAGCGAAACATAAATTACATAGAGAGAGAGAGCAGCGGCACACTTGAAATACAATGGGTGTCTTATTTAATAATTAATAAACTATTTTCTTTTCGACTTTCGACAGCCGTTGCATCTCCTATGTGGGACGTCTGCCCAACTCGGCTCCGGCCACAGGCAACAAGGTGCAGTTCATGACCGAGTACAAGGCATTCATGACCGATGTCTATGGCGAGATGACCGAAGGCAACAAGCAACGTCTCGAGCGCATTGTCAAGGAGCAGCAAGCGAAGGCCAAGGCAGCCACCAAAGCAGGCAAAGAGGCATTGGATGCTGCCAAAAAGAGAGCTGAGCACTCCATTAAAGAGAGCAAAGCAGCAAAGGCGAGCGAAGCGGCAGACAAGAATGCACCAGCAGCGGGTACACCAGCAAAGGGTGCACCACCGAAGGGTACCGATGGAAAGCCGAAAGAACCAAAGAAAAAGTAATCCCTGCAGTCGAATTTCTTGCAAGTCTTTGGCCTACAATTCGAACGTATTCTTGAAAATACTGAAAGAATATATACAAATGTATTTGCAATATTTATAAAATAAGTGGGAGATGGGGGGCACTTAACGGTACTTGGGTGCGCTGTTAGTACTTCCAGAAGTTCGGGTTCTGATCCATGCGACGCTGGAAGTTGGCGTACCAGTTTTGCACCACGGAGAAGGGCACAAAGGACTCGGTCACGGCAGGGGGGATGTCTTGTGGCGAGACACAAAAACTGGAAGCGTAGTTGAAGAAGTTCTCCAGCATGCGCTGGCCAAACTGCTTATTGTCGTTGGCACTGGACTGCAAGGGTAAATAACCAAGTTAATTCAGGAGTTTACAGTCACAAATCCATTCAGAACTTACCACTGCCGGAGTTTGCTGCGCCACCGTCAGCTCCGGCTCTATGCTGATGCCGATCTGCGCTATGTGTGAAATCTCCTGGGTGCCAAAGACCATGCCATTTGAATGCGTGCCCAGCTCATGGCTCTTCTTCAGTTGTGCTATCTTGAATATCGCCGAGGGCTTGTTGTTGCCGATGTGACCCAAGTACTGCCAGGTTGGTGCCGCACACGCGTCCGGCCAGCTGAAATAGATGGCAGCCGAGGCGCCAATAGGTAGCGGTGTGATGCCCGTCAGGAAGACGACTATGTAGTTGACAGCCTCGATGTCCGGCACATTAATCAGCAACTTGTTTTCACCCACGGGCTCAAAATCCGTTTGTGGCAGGCGTCCAGTAATTATTAAACCAAACATTTTTCATTCGTTGGGCGGAATTTTCGAGAATAAACAACAAATGCAGAGAAGCCGCTTTTGCGAACCGATTACAAGAACTAGTTCCCGATTAAATGTGTTCTGAATATTATTTTTAAATTGTTATCTTTTACCTTTCAGTAAAATAATTAGGAGAGGCTCATGAGAATGTGTGAAACTCGAGTTTTTTTTTATTTATAATATTTTTATTCATTTTTGCAGCAACGTCAAAATTACTGAACGAACGGAACCAACACGTTCATCCCTGAGCCAGCTGACACTGCTGCGTTAGCCAACACTATTCTCGGCAGGGCTGTAAAACTGATCACATAAACATAGGGTCGTCGACACTTAGATTGGATTTATTTTGGCAATAAAGTGATGGCTGGACTTTTACACCTGACGAAATTGTGCAGCAAGAATCTCCCCTCCGCCAGTGGCCACGCGACATGCTACAGACTTGCTAAGGGAAGCCATCACGTGCAATCGAGAGTGGTAAGTGTCTACCGGTGGAGCACACTTAAACGCCCGTGGCCGTGTCTCAAGGCCACTCGGCTAGATAAAGTCGCCCCTGTCTAGATTACGATTTCGTAATTATGCGTAAATCGAATTACTATTTTAGTGGAATATTCCATCAATTAGAGCAGCAACAGGCAGCAAATCAAAACAAAAACAAAAACAAAACCAAAACCAAAAAAAGTGGTCAGGCAACAGTATGCGTGTGTGTTGTTTTGGCCCTTTTAGAGTTAGATTTCAATGAATTAATGTACTACGCACTTGCTTCTTTCGTTGCAGTAAGCATACACATAGCAAAAACACAAACATAGTACATCGGTAGCACGGCCAAAACAGCACACACGCAGACAGACAGAAATGGGTCGCACACAGCGTCGTCGTCGTTGCCGCCAGGCCACCGAATCGCCAACTGTTGACTGCGACAAGAGCAAGTCGAACAACAACCTGCAGGCTCTCTACGTGCAGCTGCATGCACGTGGCTGGCAGAACTCTACGCAGTTGTCAGGCCACTCGTTTGTCCAGACCGGACGCGGGCTCTGTTCAAAGCGTCGCTCGTTTGTGGCTGGGGACGAGCTGATCCGCCTGCCCGTTGGCTGTCTCATAAGCATAGTCACCCTGGAGTCAGACGAGGCGTTCAAAAGGCTCTTCAATAAGGATCTATTCGACAAGGATGCACGAATTTCGTTTCAGGCGCTGATTGCCTGCTACTTGTTGCATCAGCGCCACTTGCACGATTGTTCACAAAGCTCTGATATTGGAGATTATTTGGATACTCTGCCCAGTAGCTACACAACGCCATATTTCTGCACCATACCCGAGCTGCAGTGCCTGCCGGAGTCATTGCTCGAGCGCACCGTGGCCCAGAATCGACAGATACGCGACTACTACGAAATACTCAAGAGCCTGGTGGGTTCCCAGTACTGTGAGTGCTGTGGCCAGAGATACTGCCAAGAGATATGGACGTTGTCGGAGTATCGCGTGGCCTACTTTGCCGTAAACACACGCAGCGTCTACCTCAATGCCCGGCTGCTGAAACTGCCGTCGAAAGAAAGTCACTTTCAACCTCTCCTGAGCGGCAGTACAAACCTGGCTTTGGCTCCGTTCTTGGATCTGTTCAACCACTCGGACGCTGTGCAAACAACCGCTGAGATTCAGGGACAGGAGTTTGTTTTAACCCTTAATGGCCCGCCCACAGTTGAGATCAAGCCCTACGATCAGTTGTACATCAGTTATGGCGCCTTAACTAACTTCAAGCTGCTGACCGAGTACGGCTTTTGGCTGAAAGGCAATGTCCACGATTACTTTGAAGTATCACTGCTGGACATTGAGCACATGGTCAAGCAGAATAAAACGCTGGCCACGCAGACCTTCCATCGCAACATCTTCAAGTTCATCAGGGAGCACAATCTGAGCGATCAAATGTTTGTGCACCTCGACGATGGCTGCTCGCACAACCTGCGCGTGGTGCTCCATTTGATCTTTAAGCAGCAGGCCTACTTTCCCAATTTACTCAATCAGATTGCCTTTGGCGATGTGCAACAGTTCGATGATGTGCAGCTAGAACTGGGCTATTTGGTGGCCCATAAGATCCGCGAGTATCAGTTGTTTGCAAGGGAACTCGACAAGTTGCCGCAGCTAACAGAGAGCGGTGCAATGGCACGCTCCTATCTGCAGGAGTGCATCCGATATTTAAACGACTTTGAGGCGGTGCATTGTCTATCCTAAGAATCGAATAAAGTACAAAAATGTTTTGTAATTTTCTAAACAACTGTGCCTAATCTTGTGACGTTTTTATTGCAGCTTTACTCGTCGCTGGCCAACGTTGACGATAATGCAAAGCGAAAAAAGATTACGCCATTTACGCCCACGCCTGGGAGTAAGCTGCTGGGTGGAGTGTTTGGCAAGAAGGCCAAAGGTAGGTTCTACCCGGACCCTGCTCCTCCCATTCACGTCTTGCTGTAGCTAACACTTGTTGTACGGTAGCTTTGTATCCTTTATCCTTTTCTTTTGACTAACCAAAATTGCGTCTTGTTTTTGTGAGTTCTTCTTTTCTTGTAACCTGAACCAAGAGTCGGCCCAATGCTCGTTTCGTTTGTTTGTTCGCTTGTTGTGTTGAGCGCCTGTTTGGATTTTGCTGCATTCAAGTAAACTCAATGCAGGTGCAGCCCCAGCAGCAGCAGTGGCAGCAGCAGCAGCGACAACAACGCTACAACATCGGCAACGACTTCAAGTACAACAATCTCGACAATGTCACGTTCATATAGGGGGCAGCAGCGATGGCGGCTCTGGCTTGGGCAAGCTGGATGCACCGGAGGTGACCTCACAGGATATGATGCGAGCGATGATGGCATACATTTGGCCCAAGGAGGATCCCATGGTGCGCAAACGGTGAGCACTGAAGGAACTTTCATACAGAATTGATAATAATTTATGCATATTTTCTCTCTTTAAAGCGTGGGCATATCTCTGGGTCTGCTGGCTGGCTCCAAGCTGCTGACTGTTTGCGTTCCTTTTCTGTTCAAAGGCGCTGTGGACACCATGACGACTCTGAATATGGACACGGCACCAGATGCGGTGCTATCCACAGCCACAGCGCTGCTCTTGGGATGTAAGAAATCAGTTCATTTCTCTCTGAAAGTTATTAATAATTGTACCCCGATTAGATGGCATTGCCAGAGCGAGTGCCGCTGGCTTTAATGAACTTCGCAATGCTGTCTTCGCGAAGGTGGCGCACCATTCCATAAGGAAGATTGCCAGCAATGTGTTTCTGCATCTGCACAATCTGGATCTGGCTTTCCATCTGAACAAGCAGACGGGCGCCCTGTCAAAGACCATCGATCGTGGCTCGCGCGGCATCAACTTTGTGCTCTCCGCCATGGTCTTTAACATTGTGCCAACGATCTTCGAGCTGGCGCTGGTGTCCAGCATCTTGGGGATCAAGTGTGGCCTGGCCTTTGCCGGTGTTAGCATGGGCTGTGTGGGCATCTATGCGCTCTACACCCTGAGTGTCACGCAGTGGCGCACACGCTTCCGGGTCTACATGAATCAGGCGGAGAATGAGGCAGGCAACAAGGCCGTGGACTCGCTGATCAACTACGAGACGGTGAAGTACTTCAACAACGAGAAGTATGAGGCTGGCTGCTACAACGAGGTGCTGAAGAAGTACGAGGCGGCCAGCTTGAAGACAAGCTCCAGCCTGGCGTTGCTTAACTTTGGCCAAAACGCAATCTTCAGCAGTGCCCTCAGCTTGATCATGGTGCTGGCCGCCAAGGAGATTGCCCAGGGCAACATGACCGTGGGTGATCTGGTCATGGTCAACGCTCTGCTGTTTCAGCTGTCGATTCCGCTCGGCTTTCTGGGCAGTGTGTACCGGGAGGTGCGACAGGCGCTACTCGACATGCAGTCCATGTTCACGCTGATGAACGTCGACAGTCGCATTCAGACGGCGCCCAATGCCCAGCCTCTGTTCATTGACAACAGCAACGCATCGATTGAGTTCCGCAACGTGAACTTTGAGTACGAGCCCGGCAAACCGATCTTCAGGGATCTTTCCTTCACGATACCCGCTGGCAAGAACGTCGCCTTTGTGGGTGGCTCTGGCTCCGGCAAGTCCTCGATGGTGCGCCTGCTATTCCGTTTCTTTGAGCCCAACTCCGGCAAGGTGCTGATTGGCGGCCAGGACATCAGCTCTGTGGACTTGGACAGCCTGCGAAAAACGATTGCCGTGGTGCCTCAGGACTCGGTGCTGTTCCACAACACCATCGAGCACAACATTCACTATGGCAACCTGGCCAAGTCGCACGAGGAGGTGCAGAATGCGGCACGCATGGCCGATCTGCACGATTCCATCATGAGCTGGCCCGCAAAGTACAACACGCAGGTGGGAGAGCGTGGCCTGAAGTTGTCCGGTGGCGAGAAGCAGCGCGTGGCCATAGCTCGTGCCATACTCAAGAATACGCCCATTCTGATCTTCGATGAGGCGACCAGCAGTCTGGACTCCATAACGGAGCATGTGAGTAGATAATCTGAGGAGTTTTTGCTTGCCAAACAGCTAATCCTTGAGCTCTGTTTGACCCACAGAACATTCTCCAAGCCTTGAGCCGCGCTACCTCGGGACGCACCAGCATTTGCATTGCCCACCGCCTGTCGACAGTCAAGGATGCCGATGAGATTTTAGTGCTCGAGAATGGCGGTGTGGGCGAGCGTGGCACGCACTCGCAACTGCTGAAGCAGAATGGTCTGTATGCCAGACTGTGGGAGACGCAGACGCAGCAATTCGATCCCAGTCGCCACACCGAAGACAACCAAGAGGCAAGGAGTAGCGCCCAAGCGTAGTGACAAGTTAAAGCCACAACGAAGTGTGTGTGTCCCTTGATCGTTTATTATTCATCTCTGACAGCGAAGAGAGAGAGAGAGAGATTGTTCGTGGTTCGTTATTATTAGGCTGAAAGTAATATTGTGTGAGTGACATTTGTAAATACAATTTGTAGTTAAGCGAAGCGGCATTTGTGCTAGTATAATATTGAACATTTATTATCAGTTTTATCACCCATACAAATTAGTCACACTTAGGGATAGGATTAGTCCAAGCTTCAATCGTCAATCTTCAATCTCTCTCCCGCACGGCCAGCGGTATGGGCACATCGTACAGCAGATACAGCAGACAGTTGCCAATGTGTTCGAGGAACTGCTGATAGTTGGCCACGCGCTGCTCAAACTCACGCCACAGCGGCAGCAGCGGACGCTCCGACTCTGCGGCAGTCTCCTCTTCGCTGGCAATGTCCTGCTCCAGCATCGTCTTGTTGGTGTACGTGAACAAATAGGAGGCGGGCTTCTGTCCAATTGTCGTCACAAAGTGCGTGATGTTGCTCTGCAAGCCTATGCTCTTGCCGGCTGTAAGGAAATACGATTCCCGCTCCACTTCGCTCTTGTAGCGCACATTGCCCTCGAGGATGGTCAGCGTGCAGTTGATCAGATCCGGCGAAATAAAGTTGATCAGCGTCAAGCCCGGAAAGTCGGCCACAAATATAACATCGGAGTAGTTATTCCAGGCCAGCACTTCGTTCTCAATTGTCCGCAGCTTGGGACGCATGTGATTCAGCTCGTTGAGCAGCGGCAGTGACCACGAAGTGGTCTCAAAGGGCGACCACGGCGCCTTCAGCAGATCCACGCGTGGATCAAAGGAGCGCTGCTGGAAGCGGCCGTTCATGGAGCACCAAATGTCAAAGTAAATGGAAATGTTGCTGCCAATCGACGGACCACCCTTGACCTGCCTGTTCTGTATGTTCTCCTCGATGCACTTGGCATACTGCACCGCCATGTCCGCGTACTTGGTCCAGCGTTCGTACTCGGTGAAGGCAAATGGATTGAGGTTGTGCACCAGCTGATTGTCGTTGTCCACGACCTGGATGGAGGTCTGCAAGGTGTCGTACGAGTGCACCATCATGTCCCAGGAGTAGCCGTACAGGCCATTGGTCCAGTTGTTGTATCCCTTGGTGATGAAGTGCGAGTACGGCAGGAAGAGCTGCAGCACACAGTAGCCGAGGATGAGGCATGTGCGGAGTCGCGCCAGCAGGGATGGCTTGGATGGGGTTAGAGCTGCCGCTTCAGCTGGGGCAGTTTTTGTCCTGCCGCGTATTCTTCGCGGCCAATCGAAGCTGAAAAACAGAGGAACTTCGGCCAGGCATACCCAGGGGAACATGCCTGCAAAAGGAGGCAAAATTACTTAACAAAACTCAGTCTTTCCCAAAGAACTCACCTATGACGAACAGACGGGAGTTCATCAAATGAAAACTGAGCATAAATGGAGTCACCAGCAGTCGCGTCTTCTCGATGGTCATGAAGAAGGCAATGGAGACATCAAAGAAGGCCGTGAACCAGTGCACAATCAGCAGATCGATCAGCTCCGGATCCAGCATTTGGCGGAAGGGTGCGAATACCCAGTGCTGGCTGAGACTGCTCATGGCATAGCCGGAGAGCCACTCTGCCGAGATCTTCTTCAGGCCGGCGTACATGTACAGAACAAAGAACTGAAACTTGATCAGAAAGTAGTTCCAGTAGGGCACGGTCCGACTACGACTTCTCGCGGGATTCAACCAACTCTCGAGCGAACTGTAAGTGGAAATTTAAGTTCAGATTGCAACGAATAGTAAATATTTATGTTCTAATGCAGACCAGTAGCTGTCGGCTTGGGTGAACAGCAGCAGCGTGCCCACCAGTCCGAACAGATAGCTGTGGTTATTCCACGTCGGCTTGTCCAGCAGAAAGATGTACCAGTAGGGTACGATGAAAGCCAGGCAGCTGCAGCGAAACCGATAGCCCAGCATGATGCCCCAAGCGCCCAGCCACATGCAGAGGTAGACGCAGCCCATCAGCGGATAGGCCAGTGCCCGCATGCCAGGGAACAGCGGAAAGTGGCAGTGATGGGGCTCGCCAAAGCGCACGTCCAGCTGGCCACCGCCTCGCTCCTCGGCTATGTCCACCAGCATGGCGGCGCCAAAGAGCAGCCGGAAGACGCCCAAGGCGGCTCCATCCACAGGTCGCTGCAGCCACGTGGTGAAGTTGGTGAGACTGCTAAAGTTGCTCGTCTCATAGCCGAAGCATTCTTGGAAGAGGTTGCCCAAGGTTGAACCTTGTGCTGGAACATCGTTTGGGTTGGGGCTCTGTCTGGTGGTGTGTGGCTTCTCCTGTGCTGTGGTTACACTCGATTTTGTGGGTAGCTTTCGCTTGGAGTTGGCCATGGTTTGTCCTGAAAACATGTTGCTTCGATTATTTAGTTGGAGCATAAGGAACAATGGATTAACCCCCACAAGTGCAAACATTCTGCTGGTTTAGGGTGTTTTTTTTTTGGTTTCTTTAGAATTTATTTGAAAAAGTTTGACATAAATACATGCATGCATATTGGTTGTATACTAAATATATAATATATGTTTGCGTTTGTGTGTGTGTGTGTTTACATTTCGTATTTTTTGCTGATTTTTTGCATAATTATCTACGGTTTGTTCTGAACTTTATTGGGTGTGGACCACAGCATAGCTGCTCGCTGCACGTCTGCCCCTTGCCACTGCCCCAAGGGCTGACATTTCACATTTCCACATTGGTTGGATGGGCATGGCGAGAGCGTTTGGCCATTGAAAATATTGCTGTTTTGGAGCGAAACGGATTCGCGTAAAAAAATATATCAATTACACTCATTCTGCACTCGATGCTCGAGTAAATATTGCAACAAATTTGCCCAGCTTCGTATCGAATTTTGTTTATTTATTGAATGCGCAGCAAACATTAATGACACACCGTGTGGAATTGTACCATTTCTGTGTTCGGTTGCATTTTTCGTTTGTTTGCTGCTGCTGCTCTTACGAGTATACCTTCGAATACACAAATACATATATTTCTGTTCTGAATTTAAATTGGGGATTTTACAATTTGCCAGTGTCCTGTGCATTGGTTCGCAAAATTTCCAAACTTTGTTGGGGAAACAAGCTTTGAAAATGCCTCAAACTACTACCATCATACCATACATACATACGAATACAATATAAAGCCCATCGCAGCGCGACTGCCTGAATATACTTTTGGTTACTTGTTTTTGTTTACTTGGTTAAGTACTTAATTGGTTAGAGAGATGCCGTACACATGCAATATAGGATTGACTCGCTATCGATTTTTTGTTTGTTTGTCGTGAAACTATATTAATGTACGTAGAGAATTCCAATTTGGAAATACATACAACTATATGTATACATATTCGTATTCGTTTTTCGATTCGGAAGTAGTAAGTACAATAATTTATAAGAAATAATCTTTGTTAATGAAAAGGGGTTGGGTTGGGTTGGGCTGGGTTTGGGTCTGCCTGATTCTGAATCGCTCTTGATTTGTTTTTCTTGGGTTAGGGAGGGAGTTTACTTTAATGTAAGTACGACAGTTTATGCATAAATGACTAATATTTTGCTTCACAATCTATTTTACTGTGAGAGAGTTGCCATTAAAATACTTTTGTTTTTAGTTTGGGTTTTTTCTATCTCTTTTTTCGATATTTACGCAACGCTAAAACATTTTAAAATGCATTTTCAAAGTTAATTCAATAAATTTGCTTTTGGTTTTCATTTTCATTTTCATTGGTTTTGTTTAGTTTTCGGTTTTGGTAAGCTTTTGAAAGATTTAGACATGGGTTTTTGAGTGTCAAAAATTTGCATACAATGGGGGCAACAACCCCACTTCTCCCCCACTATGCGACACGACGATTGCTGCAGTTGTTGCTATCGCTGACCGGAAATCAACCCTTGCGGGATTTCACGCCGCCTCAATGCAGTTCCATGCGCCGACTCTCGCTCGCTCGCGCTCGCGCTCTCTCTCTCACTTCTCACACGGCGGCGGCGGTGGCTTCACCCTAACCCTAGTGTCACCACCACTCTCCCGGCCGCCGTACCCCTCCCTCTATAGACGATTCTGATTCAGCTGGGAGCGTGGAGTGAAGGGACTGACCATAACACCGCTGGGCCAGATCGCCTCGTTGAAGAGCTCGTTGAAGCGATAGTCCGGAATGGAGATCTTGAACTTGCAGTAGGACAGCTGCGAAAGATTGGCATCGTTCTTCACCAGCTTGGTGCACTTGACCAGATTCTTGTTAATCTTCAGCTCCTCGGCCAGGTGGTCGATGACATCCTCCTCGCCGGTGTTCGTCGCGAACTTTCCCACCTGCACCCAGCGGCCGTAGTCGCAGACGACCTGCAATCGATCCGAGTTGCAATTGTTGCCGACGACAATGAGGTTGTTCTGCTGCGGATGCTTCTTGGTGGTGTCCAGGGCGCTGGCCTGCTGCATGGGTGGCTGGTTGCCGAACTGGAAGTACTGCTGGTACATCCTGCCCTGGATCTGGTTGATGCCATTGCACACCTTGTTCACCTTCTCCTCGATGGTGTGCAGCTTCGACGAGAGCGCCCGTGGCGATTGATTTTTGCACTCGTCGCAGTTGAACGAAACCATCGGGTTCTTCTGTATGACATCGTAAACGGCATCGTCGATATTCACGCACGTGCGATGGAACTTTTTGCGGCAGTCATCCGAGTTGCAGATGATGAACCCGGCCTCCTTCCCGTTGATTGATTTCTTGCACTTGGGGCAATTTTCGGCCATTTCAATGCGGTTTTCGGTTACCTTTGCGACTTCGGTCTGGTTCTGTGCCAGCTCAATCTCGGGAATTCAATTGTTGGCCAGACGCAGACGAGGGGGAAGAGAGAATATGTCGAGAAAACACACACACACAAGCAGTCAGGCTGGCTGGCTGGCTGGCTGACTCAGCGCACGGAAACGAGACAGCAACAGCGGCAAATACACTGTTATACACACAACAGTTCAGCTGGAGAAAACCAACAACAGGAACAGCGGCAGCAGCAACAACAATAACAAGAACACACTGCGAATTATATGAGCGAAAGTCCGAGGTTGATTTTGCTTTTGCTTTTGCTTTTGCTTTTTCCGCTTTTGGCTCTTTCTGACCCCTGCACTGGCAATCGGAGCAATCAGTGACAGTGAGTGGTGAGTGTGTGTGTGTGTGTGTGTGTGTGTGTGAGAAGGCTGCTGAAATCGAGAGGGGAAGAGAGAAACGCGACCGACAAAAGAACTCGAGAACCGTACGCTCCGAAGTTTGCAGAATGACTGGACAGAATCGACCAGCAACAACCCCCATGTGAAAGCTGTTTGCGTCGTTGGCGAGGCAGGGTATCGCAGTTGTACCTCTAGCGTGTAACGGTGCCTTGCTCTCCGAGAAGCGAAAAATTGGCAAAGCAACTGGGGATTACCGTTACCAGAGAGCAACCTTACCTTTCGAATGGATGCCCTGAATGGCCAACGTGCTTCTGGGGGTTGGCTTTTAACAGCTATTTTCGCCGCACGCTTTCTGGCTGGCAACCAGTTTAGCTTATTTCGCCCTCTCTCTCTCTCTCTCTCTCTCTGTCACTCGGGTGCAGTGAAAATAAAAACAATGCACTAGCACACAGTGCGCCCTGGCAACCCTGCTTGTAATTCAATTAGGACTGATCTGCACGACGCCACGCGTGGGAGTTTTAAAGTGTTTGGCTAATTTTAAAACACCTTCGGTAGAGTTTTTAAAGGGGTTTTAACTTATAAACTAATTTTGTTGGGTTTTTAATGAACTAAACTCAAAATATTTTACCCACCTTGAAATATTAATAGTGTTAAAGGTGCAGATCCTTTCTTTGGTAGAAATAGTCACTGCAAATCATCAAGATACACTTCCTGTGATGTGATCTAACAACAATTATCACTTTCAAATATTAAATTTAAGCTTTTAAGTCAAGCAAAAGGCACTCCTACTCCTACTGCCTTGCAACAGTTGGGCAGCTGCAACGGGCACACACACTCTCGCTTTACGCCTGGGAGCCACTGTGGAAAAGGGAAACACGGAGCAACACGGTCCACCAACTGAGGCTGTGCGCAAAGGTTGCGCCTTATTTATACGCGGACAGAGATACGGGGCCGTCGTGGTCGTTTCCCTCTCAGTGCAGCCGGAGATGGGGGTTGATAGTCGTGTGGGTGCTTGTGGGGGTGTTTGCGCATGTCCTTGGCTGGAAATGGCAACGAATTTAATAATAATAAACAAGTGGATCCGCCCATTTAGTATGTCTCGACTGGACAGTACCCAGGAAAGTGCTCCAAGTAAATGCCAACTGGAAAACTATTATAGAAAAATGTATTTAAATTTTCCTGCCTTCGATTACTCCTGCGCCATGTCCTACACCTATAAGAGATCTACCCTCAGTTCACTGGGTATCGAATTCGCAAAGAAAAAATGCAAATAACGTTTACAGGTGGAGGCCCCAGCAGCTGGGCCTTCTTCGACTTGACGACTCTCTGCAGCTGTTATTGTTTGCCATCCGCCTCCAGGATTTGGCCAACAGACGCCGACGGTAATTGGGTTTCATTAAGTGTCGCTGGGGCAACTGGGACAGGACATGAAAGCGGCTTGCGGGTGGGGTACGACAAGCAAGGTGCTCAGCATTTCCGCTTTCTTTGTGTGTAGGCCCTTGTTAGTGCTGCTCCAATTTTGTTGTCGACTGCATTGTCAATAGATTTTAATCAGGTGTGGCAAGCATAATAAACAGGCGCCGCAGACTGCTCGTTCCCCCACCAATAACTGTTCGCCACTTCTTGGCTGATTTAAATCTATGCGTCGCACCGCAGACTCGGGTTTATTTCCATTATCCATAATTTCCTACCAGCTCGTGTGTGTCTCTGGTGTCTTTTTTCCAATTGTTATTTATGTATGCACCCACGTGTGCCCGTGTAACGAGACTTAGGTAGTCATTCTGTTCTACTCTTTTGCTGCCACTCCTACGCTCAAAAATATGCTATACTTTTTGCCAAATTCTATTTTTACCCTTCTGTGCAATTCCCAGAAGAAAGTGTTTCCTAATTGTAGTTTGACGAATATTTTAATAACCTTTGGAACTTGGTTCTTCTGTATGAACAGCTCGATCTTAGAGGTGACTTAGAGGCCAAGGGCTGTTATACATACACTCAAAGGTATTTCAAAGACATCATTAATTTCTTCCAGTGTTCATGAATACTCTTAAGAATTCTCCATTAACTTATTCCCTTTTTTTCCCTAGCAGCATAAAAGACTGTGTGATTTTGTTTTTATTTATTTATTTAAATAATTATGTATTTTCGGGGTGCAATTAATCATTAAATTAATTAGTAATATTATTGTTTATATACGGTTCATATATATATATTTACTCTCATTCTCCATCTGTGGTTTTGGTTGGGGTTTTCCTCATTTCTCTTTTTGCTTGTAGTATGTTTTTCCGCTTCTCACATCTCTCTATCGATCTCAGCTTCATCTCACATTCTGATTGCTCTGTTGTGCCTCTCAACGAAATGTACTCCGCCTCTTCACTCCGTCTGTCTGTTAATGTTATTGTGTGTGTGTGTGTGTGTGTGTGTGTGTGTTGTGTCTGTATACATTTGTTTTCTTTTTTTCTGGTTAAAATCCAAACAAAAACCGAAACGCTCTCTAAACATTTGTCTCATTGATTATTATATTGATTCCGTAGTTGGTAATGTTTATATGCATGTGAAAGGTTTACATGTGTGTGTAAGTGTGTGTGTGTGTCTATGTGTTGGTGTTTGCTTTGGGTGACATTTTTATTGCAGTAATGGACACATTGAACGAGATTTGATTAAGCTTTAAGGGCGACATATTGTACACGCTACGAATATTGCTAAAAATACCTGCACTTTGGGTCTTAGATTTTCATTTTTTCCCGTTTTTCCCATTATAATTATAATGTTTTTTTTTTGTTAGTTTTTTAGTGTTCGTTTTTCTTTCTTTTAGTAGGTTTTCTTTTCGATTTTGTTTGTGCCTCATTTTTGTCAGTAGGCAAAGCACTTTGGGCAGGCGCTTGTTGAATCAATTAATTTAGTTAATACATTAATTGTTTTTTATTTTTTTTTTTAATATACGTTTTGTATTTTTAGAACAAGGTAAGTACAATATGTGCTAAGAATGTTTGTCTCAAAGTGGGGTTTACTACTACTCGATCGGAATGGGTCTGGGGTTTCTTCTGGGTTGGGGTGTCTCTGTGGAGTGGAGTTTGAGTGGAAGTGGAAGTGTGTGAGATCTAAATATCATATCGTTACACGTTACACATACACACAGATATATATATATATATATATATATATATATATATATGCATACATAGAGCCTATGTTGTATCCTCTCGTCTTGTACTTATAACATTGAAATATACATACATTATGCGACTTTTGTCTTGCCTGCTGCTTTCTGTCAACTAAAAACTGATACCATAACCAACATATTGTGTGTCTAGCGCTTAATTTAATCGTTGAACTGTCTGGTTTTAGCCTTCAACCGAATCCCTCTCGATCCTCGATCCTGTCTCTTTCTTTTTTATTTTTGTATTTCAAACACAACAATAATTAAACGAAAACATTTAACTGCAAACTAATCAATTCTTTGGTTTTGTTTTCTTTTTCCTTTTTGTATATTTTCACTAGTATCATTTCCTTTCCTTCCTCTTCTTTTCTCCTCTCTTTGGTTTTCGTTCATCTTCTGCTAGCTTTCCTTTCAATAATTTGTTGTAGTTTTGTTTTAAGAATACAATACATTAATCAATTGTCAATTGTTTATACATACGAGTATATATATTCTCTTTCCTTCTCTTTTTGTTTTGTTTTGTTTTGGATTATACACTTCAAATATTTATATTTTGCGTAACTTTTACTTAGGAACAAAAGCTTAGATTTGGTTTCGTTCTTTCTGGTTTTAGCAACGCTTTCTCGGGAGTTTTTGTAGGGCTCTGTTCCGAAAATATTTGCGATACTAGTACATAGATTTTCTAAGGAAACTGAGTTCAAAGAGCTGGCACAGACACAGGCACAGGCCAGCAGCATCATCGAGAAGATATTAAGTACAATATAGTCGTAGTTATACATTTATGTATATGTAGCATAGATTACTAGTTGTTGTTGTGGTTTCTTTTTTGCTTTTTAGATTTACTCGTAAATATTCAAGTACCATATATTTATTTATTTATATATTTATATATATATACTATACCATTTTATGCATGAAATAATGTAACCATAAACAAATTAGCAACAACTTCATTTTTGTCCGGAGCGTCTTTTAGATTTTAGTGTTAATATTATGACTGCATTTACTTAAAACCATTTCCCTTTCCTTCTCGTGTGTTGTCGTTCGTCTCTGAAGGGGAAATTATTATTGACTTCTTTGCAATTCTCGAGATTTTTGTCTAGCATAACTGAGTTTTCCTTTTTGGGTTTTGTTCGGGGTCTTGCAGATTATAGTTTTGTGTAATCAAGAAACGTTTTTTTATGCTTGGCTTTTACAGGTAAATGCCGTCCAGAATTACTTATGCGCCGCCATGCTCCGGATTGGCCCCGGCCCCGGCACCGGCTCCGTGTCCTCCATCAACCAGCGCCGACTGTCCTCCGGCGGCGGCTGGCTGCTGCTGCTGTGGCGGCGGTGGCGGCATGTACTGTGGATACTGAGGATACTGCGGTGGCTGCTCTCCGCCTATGAGTCCAAGTTTATCTGTGAATGGGTCGGGGCAGGAGAAAAAGAGAGTAAGAGTTAGTTAATTGGCCCGAAAAGGTGAACAGTTTGACCTCTTATCAAGCTCAATTGAATGACAATTACACCGATACACGGATATGGTACGCCAAAAACATATTATTACACTTCAAATATGGTTAAAAGCTCAGTAATTATGAGGGGGGTAATACACGAACAGTAGTAGCAGAATATGTATATGGGGTGGGGGGTTTAGGGATATGGACAAATCACATCCGACAGATGTGCGAGTATATTTATGTACATTCAAGGCGGACAGCCATGACCAATACCTCACAGCTGACAGGACAGCTGACTCTTTGCCCCCTAGCTTCCGCTTAGATTGTTGTGCATCGTTATCAACAACATCGAAAATGGAAACAAATTATAGAACCATAAGGATACTAAGCACACGTAGACATCGAAACACACACAAACAATGCACGAACATGCAGGCTAAAATGAATAAATAAAATCAGAATCGGAATCGGAACAGTGGAAACAGAAACGGTAACGGGTGTAAGAAGAATAAAAAGCACAGATTAAAGTTGTGGCTTTTTGCAGCTGTTGTTGCTGTTGTTTGCTTACAGTGTTCGAAAATGTTACAAAGAAGAGAAGGTGGTGGTGAAATGGTATTTGCTTTTTGCTTTTGGTTTCTTTTTTGTTTCTTTTCAGCTAATTTTGGTTATGGTTTTCTATTAATGTTGTTTTTGTTGGTTAATCGATGGGTTGATTGATTGGTTGCTCGATTAGTTGTTTGTTGTAGTTGTTGCTGTTGTTGTTTGTTGTTGTTTTTAAGAGAAAGATCGTCCTATTGTCCAGTCGCCACTTCATCCGACGGACTCTGTGGGTTGTCGGTCAATTTCTCAGCCAATGGTTTCTCGAGTGTTGGTGGTTCAGATTTTTGTGTATGGTGTTGTTGTAGTTGTTGTTGTAGTTGTTGTGGTAGTGCTGATTCTGGTGCAGATGCTGGTGCGGATGCTGGTGCCGGAACCACCTGCTGCTGCAAAGCAGGAGGTGGCGGAGCAGCAGCATCATCCGACATGTACGGTTCTACGAGAAATTTGTTGTACGTGAATTTGCATTTGTTTTTTTTTTTGTTTGTTCTATTTCGATACAAGCGATATTAGTGGACAAAACGGAACCAAATCAAAAACGTAAACTCTCAAAACCAAAAAGACACAAAAAGTAGAGAGAGAGAGAGTGAAATTTTGGGTGCACCTAGCAATAAGATTTGCGGATGAGTTACAGAAAGAGTTTTGCTGTTGTTTTTACCTCACAAAAGTAATGTTTTGTTTTGTTTTTTTTTTTTGGTTAAATTGTTTTTGAATATCTGTTTTTTCGTATGGTTTAATAAAAGTGTACAAAGGCTAATGCTGTCTGTGTTATTGTATTACTCTTTCTCGTCTTTCTCTGTAATTGTTTTAAAAATAGATTTTTGTGTATCAGTGGCAATCGTATGTATAGAGTATTTTCAGGTCAGGTGTGTCCATGGTGTTTGTGTGTGTTGTGGAAATAAGGAAACACTTTTTAAATTATATAAAAAACTCAAACAAGACTGCAGTACTTTGATTTCATTTGCTGTACAGGAAGAGGCACAGCTGGTAATTCAATTTGATCTGGCCTTTGCGTCTACATTTACTTTGGGTTCAAGTACTGTCTACAAGTATATTTTACACGGGACAAATGGCACAGTGCTTGTGCCGCTGAAGAGTTTGCGGATCAGCGCCAATAACAGAACTAAACAAAACATAACGAAACGAAACGAAACAAACCACAAAACTATTAAGGCTTACGGGTTTTGAACGCTAGCTAGTCGAACACACAGAACTTAAGGTCCTACGGATAACGCTAACGGCGCTAAAACATTTAATATCGAATCAGACAATTGCCTACTGGCGATGCGATATTTAATGGATATAAACTATTACAGGAAAGGAAAAGATAACAGACAAATAACAATAATGTACGACACGACTTTCTGTTGGCATCAAATCAAATGAAATCATTACCGAACCTGGTGCGTATGTTGGTCGAATGGGAACCAGATGATGTTGGACTTTGGATACACACACAAATCAGATACATAAATATATACTTTATATATGTATTTAAGATATGTAGTTACTGTTTTTTTAGTGGTTGATTTGCTGAAGCACATGATATGGATGCAAATTGACTGATCGATCGATCTTTTTGTTTATTTTTTGTTTCTTTTTTTTTTGGTGGAAATGTTCGCATCAAATTCGAATCGGTGCAAGTGGAGCGATCAGATCATCAAACGTACAACAGTTGGACTGTGAGTTTTAGCTCTACTCATGGCAGTTGTTAAATGGGAATAGAATTTGATTTCGGATCATATTGGGTTGATTTCGATAGATTTTGAATTCGATTTGCGTTTGCATTTTGCAGTTGCATTGCGGATGATGCATTGCGCAGCTAAGTAACTAGTTTCTTATCTTATGGATTAGATAGTTAGCAATCTACATAAAGTTACCTAGAGAAAAATAAAAGATGTGGCGGAATTAAAAAACAAACAAATTCAAATTTAGTCTCTCTGCTCAAAGCTCAAGAAATCAGCGCTAAATAAATTGCGTAAATTAAACGAGAATCAAAACAATAAAAGGTGGCAGTTTCTCAGGTTCTGTGTGTGGCTGAGGAGTTGTGTGGGTGTCGATTGGCATTGTATCTCTAGGAGGGTGGTGGAGTGGTGTGGCTGTGTGTGTCCCATGTTGTGAGTAAGAAGAACAGCCTCAACTAGGGATTTCCGCACGATGAACTTACTTGCAATAATGCCCACGACAACCAGGCCAATCACGCCCATGATGATCATCATCTGAAAGGGTAAGCAGAACAATTGGTTAGTGCTGCACTCGTGGAGGCTTCAAACTAGTTCAAGAACCTTCAAGTTCTGCAGCCAGAATTTCCTCTTGAGCTTGCCCGCCTGCTGCTCAAACTGCGAGGCGCCCTGCTGCAAGGCATCGGCACGATCGTCCAACTCCGACAGCTTGCTATCGCGCTCCAGCACCTTCTCGACGTTTGTGCGCATAATGTCGACGACCTAAGAAAGATTCTCCCTTGTAAATGATATTCAGAGCATCGTTAAGGATTGTGTTTCACTCACCTCATCGACCTGCGCCTGCGTCTGCTGGAGACGCTTCTGTGCCGCAATCTGCTGCGGATTGTGTGGTCCGCCCACAATCTCGCCATCGCCTCCCTCGCCTGCTGGAGGTCCAGCAGGTGGTGCATCGCCAGCTGGTGCAGCGTCCGCCCTGCAGGGAACAATCGTTAGTCAATGACGAGCACATAAAGAGGGCAAATACCAAAAGACTAATCAACTCCCAACGGGGCGCTCAAATTAAATACAAGAATTACACTTGGATTACACAAATTGTGGGTAGAAGGTAGGAGCTATAGCTATGCTGGCACTACAGTTTCTAGCATTATTTTAAAATATATCTCGACGGTGTGTGATAAAGAGAGAGAGAGTGCTGAAAGTACATAATCTAGCTGGCTACTCGGTAGAGTGCAGAGATCAGCACTTACGGTTCCTTGTTCTTGTCTTTCTTGCCCATCGCAGATGCCCCCCCAAAAAGAACTGAGAACTCAACTGCGGTCTCTGGTCTTCTGTTTTGGGGGCCAAAGTTAAGGAAATTCACAGTTAAATATTAAGTTAGAAATGGAAATGGGAGAATTGATAATGTTCGTAGTGGGAGGAAGTGGGCAAAAGAAATCGATGGACGGAACAACCGGCATTATTTGCGTTGCCCTTTTGGACAATTAATTTGGTTTGCATGGCTCCTGGACTGCCCTGACTCACACGGCCCAGGCGAAACGTAGTCAAATGTATTGATTTTACGGCATGTGAATGCCATGTGATGCGGCAAGCGTCATCGCCATCGCCGTAGCCATCACCATTGCCCATTGTCGGACCAGAGGAGACTTATACTCTCTCTCGCTCTCTGGGAGTGATTCATGGCTCATGGTGCAGCTGGAGCCACTTCGCGGAGTCCAAATTGAAATGGACAATTTGTACAAATGAAATGCTGGGCCTGGGCCTGGACCCATGCTGCGTGTACTTAATGTGTGGGGCATTAAATGAGCATTACCCCAGAGTGCGAAAAAACCCCCCGACAAATCAATAATATTTCCATCCACTTACATTTCTCGGTAGTTGTTGTTGTTGTGGTTGTTGCAGTCGCTGCTGATGTATTAACAAAATTCGGTTTGACTGCGACTGATTGTGGTTTTGTATGCACTTGGCCAACGTCTTTTACGTTTGGGAGCGTCGAGCGAGGTCGGGAAGGGTCGTATCGCGGGTGTCGTGACGGTAGTGGCAGCAGCGCAGATGTGCTTCTGGTGGGTGCAGCAGAACTCTGTTTCGTTGTTTTTGTTGTCGAGGGTTGCGCTCTTTCTTTCTCTCACTCGCTCGCTGTCTCACTCGCTCTGTCGCTCGCTCTTTTGCCTGAGCTTTTGTCGCCCCCAATCGTCAATGAATTTTCACTCCTCTCGCAGTTGCGGGGGTATTGGCTAGATGCGTATGCGTCTGTGTGTGTGTGACTGTGTATGTCGAGTGCTTGCCACGACAGCGCCTCAGAGGGATCTTCTGGCTCGGCGAAACTTTAACTGTTGGTAGGGAAGGAGAAGTGTAAAAATAGTTGCAACTATTTTTAGTCTTTTATTTGGATTACGAATAAGGAATAAAGGATAACTAGTAGAACAACACGCCCACGGTTCTCGCTCTCCTATGGGACGTGTATGTGCATGTGTGTGGGTGCACCTTTCTGTTGCACTGCCCCCTGGGACAGTCTGGGAATATTTTCTACAATCAAAATATATATTCGCGTGCGAACGGACCACACAAATATTTGCAAAGTTCCCAACTTGGCACTTGGCTTGGGGGGGGGGCAAAAAATCAATGAAATTCTACACGGCAATGGTTTTGCTTATATACGAAAGGCCTTTTAGTCGCATTCTTTACGTGTTTCAACTACGATTTCTAGCACTTTGTGTGGCAAGCACTTTAACTGTGGCCTGGCAGCACAAGTTTACAGAAAATTATGCCTTAATTATTCAACTTAAAATTATTTTGCGTAGCACAGGGAAAATTTTCACTTACGACGTTTTTAGCCAACTGCGAAAACTTGAAGCTTTCCTAACTGTTATGTTATGTGTATGCTTCTGCAGATCCTGCAAAATTACCAGAGCCCCAAAGCTCTTCTGCAAACTTAACAGAGCGAGGCCCCACATTTTACATGTCGAGAACAGATGCGATAACGATAGAACGATAACGATTATAAAGCTAAGAGCCTGAAGGCGCAGCCAGTGGTTTTTTGAACTTTGCCTGTATCCAAACGCGATACATCTTGAGGCCGCGACCTCGATTCACCTGCAGCCTTCGGTCCACAATCACCTGTTCCTCCTGCAGACCCGCTTGGGTCAACATGCCACGTAGCTCTTGCTCTGTAAAGAAGTAAACCAAAGTGCCATCGCCGCGCACATAGAAATTGTCCTCCAGGCACTTGCCGCTCTTGAAGCGCAGCTGGGCCAGGTCGTAGCGGCCGTAGTCCCTAAAGAGGAGCAGACCACCGGGACGCAGGTAGCGATAGCAATTGTCCAGTATCTGCTGCATTTTCTTTGGCTGGCAGGCGGACAGCACAAATATCATGACAATGATATCCTGCGAGTTCTCCTCGAAGGGCACTTGCCACTGCTCATCCGTGGCATCCATTACGAACACTTGGCAGCGCTTCTCATCGAACTGCGGCTGGCTGCGGAGTATATCGATGGCCCGGGCGGAGAAGTCGCACCCAAAGACCTTTAGCTTCGGCTCCACGCTGTACTGCAGCAGGGGTAAGATGGTGTTGCCTACGCCACAACCAATCTCGAACACGCTCCGTGGCTGCTGCTCACTGGCATCCAGGGGCGCCAGCTCGGGAAACTCGGTGAACAGCCAGTGACGGTCCTTGAAGAAGCGGTTGTCGTGTATGCCATAGAAGGAGTCCCAGAACTTGGGTGCATCCGACTGAAAGCGCTCCCGTTCATCGTCGTTCAGCTTGCTGGAAGAGTTCTTGGCCACTGCCTCCTGTGCGGCCAGCTCCTGCTCCTCGTCCCATTGCACGTGGTCCCTGCAGAGCACATTTTGAGATTGCATTTAAGAGCTTTTGTGTTGACATTGTCTACCATGCATTAAACTCGAACACCTCGCGCGCGTCTGTTAGTATGCGGCCGCCAGCAACTGCTGGCTTCTTGCGCTGTCGCGTGTGTTCCCAAGTCTTGCTGGCAAAACGTCGTACACCTTGCAGTGCATATTTACCAAGCATTGTGCTTAAACACGTCGTCGCTGTCCTTGAGCAGACGTGTGCCAAACTGAGGGCGCTTCTCACACTCATCGGCAGTGGGGGTTTCGCTCATGTTATGCAGGAAATCAAAATTTTAACAAAATAGTTTGAAAACAGCAGTTCATGTGGACCAGTGTGTCGGAGGAATTATCGATAAAAGTGACCTCAAAAATATACCAAAATATACCTTCTCATTTTAAAAATATACCGTAAACATATAGAATCGAGTGTGCAGCTAGTGGCGGGCGACTACCGATAGAAATAAATAGAAATGTTTAGCTAGTGGTGGGGGAATTCCAATCGAAAGAGTCGAATGTGTATATCAAAACCGCAAACAAACCTTTTTGTTGTATTGTGCGTTGTTTTCTGCGCCCGCAGCGAAATAGTTGAACCAATAAACGCATTGTAGCGCGAAATTATTGGGAACCTGCGTAGGAAACGTGACGCTATCATTGTGTGCGCCTTTAAGTGAACAAACGCTAAGTGAACGCCTTCAAAATGATGAACGAGGCAGCCCTGGCCAACATGATTCCGTACGACACAATTGGACTCTATGAGCAGCCGAAGCCCCGTTTTATCTTCAAGATGCCACGCGTGGTGCCCGACCAGAAGTCCAAGTTCGAGAGCGACGAGCTGTTCCGGCGACTCAGCCGCGAGAGCGAGATTCGCTACACGGGCTACCGCGAGCGCAGCATCGAGGAGCGCCAGGTGCGCTTCATGAACGGCTGCCGCGAGGGACACACGGAGACGAGTTTTGTGGCCTCGGGCACTAACCTACAGCTGGTGTTCAACGCCAATCAGAACCCCTATCTGCACGACAAAGAGTGCGACTTTGACAAGGAGCACGGCAAAGTGCACATCAAATCCTACTTCATAATGAACGGCGTGTGTGTGCGCTTCCGCGGCTGGCTGGACCTGGAGCGTCTCGATGGCGTGGGCTGCCTGGAGTACGACGAGCGCCGTGCCATGCACGAGGATGCTATTTTGCGTGACCAAATCGACCGCTACAACCAGCGGCTGCGCGAGTTCGAGGACACCAAGCGTGCGTATCGCGACAATCGGCAGGATGAGATGGAGGCTGTGCGCCGTGGCGTTGCCTCCGGCGGCATTGGTGTGGGCGCCAGCATGTGGCGGCGTTAGTTGGACCTGTGGACGGCACCAGCGCCGTCCCTGCAGCATCACGATCATCACGACCACGAACAGCAGCCGCAGCCGCAGCCGCTGCCACAGCAGCAGCAAGAGACTCAATTTGCAAATACTCAATATTTTATGGACAACTGAAAATGCTCCGCCTAGCGCCTACGACCATGTGGGATAGGCATGATCCAACATATGCTCCACCCTAGACTAGTTTTAGCTCTAATTAATGCTTACTTTACGGTATGCTTCTCTATGGTATTAAACATTACAATTAAATGTGAATTTTAGTGTCGTCTTACAACCATAAATATAATCCACATAAATAACTACCCAGGCTACGGCATGATTAATGATTAATGCTCTGATCATGCGATCTGGTGTGACGCCGCATTTCTGTCTGTGAAACGAAAGGAAACTCATCTTTTGTTTTGAATACCATTATTAATATACAATTAATGACACTTTATAATAGGCATATGCGTGTATCGTGTAAAACTAAGAGCTAAGAGGATTATTAAACGGGCATGTAAGTGGGATAGAAGTGGGGTCTCGCTAGGCGTAGGGGGAAAGCACAAATCAAAGCTCGCTCTATTGCTCCCTAGCGGAACTGCAGATTGGATATGCGCAGTCCAATGCTGTCCTTGCCAATCTGACTGACCTCGCACACGTTGCAGAGATTGCCCTTGTATTGAGGATCGTATGAGGAGCCGCAGAAGGGGCAGGTCACCTCGGGTTTGCCGCGATACAGCGGCTTCCAGCTGATGCCGCATATGTTGAATGGATTGAACTCCTCGTACTGCAGCTGATGCTCGTCCACGGGATTTATTTCGCATGCCTGCAGTATCTTGCGCACCTGCTGGGCCACATCCGGACGGGGTGCCAGCTCGAGCAGTCGACGGGCGAACGAGGCGGCCGTCTTGTAGTTCTTCAGCTTGAAGTACATATTGAGAGCGGTGCGCAGGGTGAGGATCTGGTGCACCGGCTGCAGCTTGCAGTGGGTGAAGTAGGCGGCCATCTCGCAGAGGCGCTTCTGCTCCTCGAGCGTTGATTTCGGCATGCCCTTGCGCACAGTTTCCATCTTCAAGCCGACAATGTACTCGGAGCAGATCTTCAGCAGCTGTTGGGCCTCGGCCGTGTCCAGCTTGGTCTCCACCACCAGCAGCGGAATACTGATCAAAATGGAATGGAACTTCTCGATGGCCTCCGTGAACTTGCCGGAGGTTGTCATTTGATAGCCAGCCTGCAGGCGGGACACCAGATCATTTAGCTTGATGCCCATTGCCGGGCGCTGCAGCTTCGCGTTCGTCTCGGAGAAGTTGCGCAGCGGATAGCCGCACAGGGACTGAAGATTGGGATTGGCCGTGTAGCTGGTGCGCGAGCAGGCGTAGTTCTGCAGGAAGAGAGTCTTAAAGGGCTTGAAGTTGACCACGCCTAGCTGGTCGTTGAGCAGCCGGAAGGCGCTCTCGAAAGCGCCAGCCTTGACGTGATCCAGAACGAGCGGCGAATTGTTGGCCCACTGCTGAGCCGGGGACAATCCCTTATTGGGGGCCGCATAGTAGTTGCTGTCCAGCGCCGAGGCCTTGATCTTGGAGGCCAGCTCCTCGGGCACAACCAGATCGTCATCGCCCACATCCCAGCCGGCACCATCCTCACCGCCAGCACCTCCGGGCTGCTCATCACTGCTGAGCGCATCGTGCATCTCATCGTCGCCGTCATCGTCCAGTCCCAGATCGGCATCTGCGCCCCAGCCATCGCCGCCACCGTTGTGCTCCTCCAGCACCGCTGCATCGGCATTGAGGTTGAGTGCCTGTCGGGCGGTGGCGCTGTTGCCCGCGCGCGTCACCATGGCGCCCTCGAAGAAGCCCTTGGACACGGACAACAGCGGCCAGTTGGTCTCCAGCTGCTGGATGGGCACAGGCGGCTTCAGCAGCATTGCATTCGGATTAACCTCTGGCAGCGTGTCGCCCTGTGCGGTGATGGTCTCGGCCAGCGACTCGGACAACTCGTCGAGCCCATGGGTGGCTGCCGTCAGATAGGCCATGGAGGTGAGGCCACAGTTCTTCAGGATGTTCACACGCTCCTTGAAATCCCCGAGAACCAGGGCGCCCTGGTACTGTGCCGAGACATCCTTGCGGATCTCCGCGATCTTGATCATCTTCTTGAGCTTCTCCAGATTGCCGGTGATCAGGTAAAGGAAGCTGAGCTTGTCAAAGTTCTTGGTGCGCTGATAGCACATCTCCACCACCTGGTGGTTGCCCTGCAGCAGCGCACTCTGCCCGAGACGATTCCAGCAATCCTTGTCGTCCAGGGCCTTGGCTGCCTCCAGGGCAATCTCAATGTTGCCGCACTCCAGGGCCAAGCCAAAGCGTGTCTTCTCGTCCTTGACAAAGTGCAGCGCCACCTCCGGGTAGCCCTTCTGCTGCAGGTAGGCAATGATGCTTTGTCCCACAAGTCGAGCATTGCGCACCATGTGCAGAACCTCATCGTATTTGCGCTGAATGAGCGCCAGCTTGAACTTGTACTCCGTGGGATCGATGGTGAGGACGCGGGTGCGGCACTCGCGATCCAAGCAGAACACTTGATTGCCCTTGACGCGCGTCAGATAGATGGGCAGATCGAGGGTGCGAATGATGCCGTGATCCCCATTGGTAATTGCATACTTGATGTGGTTGCTCGTGGTGTAGATGAACACGCCGGACTCGTCCCACGCACCCGACTTGACGCGGCAGTTCTCCTGCACGGTGCAGAGATACTGCAGCCGGCGGTCGCAGATGGTGACCGAGTGCTTGCAGAGGAGAGCCACCAGCGACATGTCTGGCGACCAGACGACGTAGCGGCACTTGGCCAGCTTGATGCTGCCAACGGAGACGAGGCGCTGCACCTCGTAGAGGGTGACCATTTCGGGATCCCGAATGAGCAGCATGCCCGTGCCGGCGTAGAAGATCTCCTCGCAGAATGTGGGAATCTTCTTGGTCACCTCGTTCTTGAAGTTCTTAATGACCAGCTGCTGGTTGCGATCCAGCACGGCGAAGCGATTGCGTGCCACCCAAATGGCGGTGATGCCCGAGCTGCGCTTGCTGTCGGACTCGTTCTGGCTCTCTGTGTCCTTGGGTATCTGGCACAGGTCATAGGTGCTGTTCTCCAGGTTGTTGGTGCGCGTGCAGATGAGCACCGCATTCAGGGCTGGGTTGTAGGACATGCTGTACACAGGCGACTTGCCCGGACGCAGCTGCATCACTACAGCGTCCTTGGTGGTGGTAAAGTCCAGCTTCCGCAGGTAGCGATCCTTCACATAGTACAGCATATTGCCATGCACAGCATAGGCGGGACGCTCGCGTTCCAGCTTGAAGACAACCATGCCTGGAGGGACACATAAAGGGATTTAAATCGGAATCCTTTGAGGCAAAACAAAGTCTCCTTACCGCCATCGTGTCCGGCTGCAAACAGATTGAGTGTGGGATGCGCTGTCAGTATCCAAAAGCGCTCGTTGTCCCGCCGGAATGTGAAGAGACACTGACGCTTGGTCATGTCCCAGACGCGAATGCTGCGATCCTCGCCGTTCGAGATGATCAAATCCTGTCGGGGATGGAACAGCACGCTGGACACGTTGTTGTAGTGGCCACGGCAAGTGTCCACCTCCCAGGCCTTGTACTCGTTCATGCGCCAGAGCTTCACCAGACGATCGTCAGCGCCTGAGACAATCAGCGGCAGAGTGGGATGGAAACTGGCCCAATTGACGCCGCGATCGTGCCCCTCGAGCACATGCTTGACCACAGCATCGGCCTGGCCAAACAGATCGGTGGCTCCGGGATTGCCCTTCATATGATCATCTAGTCCCCCGGGACCGGGAGCCACATTCTTCTTGCGCAAGCCCGAAATGTCCCAGACGCGCACCGTCTGATCCAGCGAGGCGGAGACAATCTGATCCTCTGTGGGATGGAACTGGGCACACATAACGTAATGGTTGTGGCCAGTTAGCACGCAGATGCAGTTGCGTGACTGCCAGTTCCAGATGCGAATGGTCTGATCATCGGAGGCGCTGAGGATCCACGGATACTCATGGTGGAAGGCCACAGTGCGCACGTAGTCCAAATGCGCCAGCAGAGTGAAAATGCAGCGACGCTGCTTGTAGTTCCACACCTTGATCTTGTAGTCATCGCCGCCAGAGACGAAGAGGGGCATCTGCTGGTGGAATGCCACGCTGCGCACGGGCCCGTCGTGCTCGTCGAACTTCTCCAGGAGCGTGTGCATGCGGTAGTCCCACAGCTGGATGACGCCGCTGTGCAAACTGGTCAGAATCCAGGGACGTTTCGGGTGAAACGAGAGCCCCTTCACCCGAGCCGACTTTGACTCGAAATTGGTCAACATGTTGGCAGTTTTTACTGTCTCACGGGGAAAGGTAATTGTTCTCGATTTGTGTTGTTCCGTGTCGGCTTTCGTTTCACGTATGTACCCGCTTCCAGTAAGTTCCGGGCACTTTCCTGTATCGAAATATACAAGTATTAGCACATCTCTCCCAAGAGTAAACAATTTGTGCACCACGTAGGCGCTGATAAACTCAAAATTTCAAGAAAAACACCAACCAAATTGTACAAGTGACACGTCAATTATCTTCTTCTTGCCAACACAGGCGCAGGGTTGAGTTCCATTTGAATCGAACGGAACAGCTGGTTGATTCACTAAATTCACTTGACAACACTGCCCGTTCAGCCGTTTTTTATTTTTTGACATAACAAATAACTAAAATCATGAAATATCTTCAGAACTTAACGTATAAAGTTCTTCAGCGGCGTTACCTGTACCAGCCACGGCTATCCACACTGTACTACAGCACATCAAAGGGTGAGTAATACCCGTTTTCATTGAATAAACAGCCACCGGCTAATGGTGCTCTATTCATTCCACTGCAGATGTCGACGCAAAAGTGCCATTGGCAGCGGGCTACCAGCCCAAACAGGTGGAAGAGGCCTATTGGGAGCGCGACAAGGATCAGGCGAATCTCCCACAGGGGGCCAATCGCTGCAAGCGTGGGCCCTACCGCATGCTCCTCCCACCGCCAAATGTGACGGGGAATCTGCACTTGGGTCATGCACTGACGGCCACTGTGCAGGATGTGATTGCACGCCAGCGGCGGCAGCTTGGCTACGAGGTGGACTGGGTGCCAGGCACCGACCACGCCGGCATAGCCACTCAGGTTGTGGTGGAACGCACACTGGCAACCGCCGGAGGCAAAACGCGCCACGACATAGGACGCGAGCCCTTCCTAGAGGAGGTGTGGAAGTGGAAGGCCTCCAAGGGTGCTGGCATCGTGCAGGACCTGCGTCTGCTCGGCTGCAGCCTTAACTGGTCGCGCGAGTACTTCACCATGGACGAGCAGCAGGCAAACGCCGTCAATGTGGCCTTCGAGCGACTCTTCGATGAGGGTCTCATCCAGCGGCGCAATTCCATCGTCAATTGGTCCACCACCCTACAGTCGGCAATCTCGGACATCGAGGTGGAAGTGCTGGACATCAAGGAGCCCACAACTGTGAGCGTTCCAGGCTACAAACACAAAATTCTCTTTGGCAGAATTTTTGATTTTGCCTACACCGTCGTGGATGGCGAAACACAGCCGGATGGCTCGGTCGAGGAGATTGTGGTGTCCACCACCAGACCAGAGACAATACTGGGCGATGTGGCCGTGGCCGTGCACCCACTTGATCCGCGCTACAGCAAGTATCGCAACAAGGAAGCGGTTCAACTGAAGCATCCCTTTCGGAACGACACAATTCCCCTCGTCTTCGATATCGCCGTGGACAGGGACTTTGGCACGGGCGCTGTCAAGATTACGCCAGCCCACGACAAGTTCGATTTCGAGCTGGCAGCGCGACACCAGCTGCAGCCTCGACAGGTCTTCTCCAAGGATGGACTCATTCTGGATACCTTTGAAGGGTTTGAGGGCCAGCTGCGCTTCGACGTACGCGAACTGATTATCCAGCGTCTGGATAGGATGGGATTGCTTCGGCAGGTACGACCCCATGCCATGCAGTTGCCCATCTGTTCGCGATCCAAGGATGTCATCGAGTACATGATCTGGCCGCAGTGGTTCCTGAACTGCAAGGAAATGGCTCAGAATGCGCTCTCGGAGCTGCACAGCGGCCGACTGCAGATTGTTCCGTCCAACTTTGAGTTGGAGTGGGATCGCTGGCTGGAGGAGGGACGCGACTGGTGCATCTCCCGGCAGCTGTGGTGGGGCCATCAGGTGCCCGCCTACCAGTTCACCGATGCACAGGGCAATGCCCACTGGGTGGCTGCTGCCAGCGAGCAGGAGGCCAGACGCAAGGCCATTGAACTGTTGGGCGGTGGCCAGCAGGAGGAGCTTACCCTGGTGAGGGATCCCGATGTGCTGGACACTTGGTTCTCCTCGGCACTGCTGCCCTTCTCCGCTGCCGGCTGGCCCAACGAGTCGTACAAGGAGAAGTATCCGCTGGACATCATGCAGACGGGACACGACATCCTCTTCTTCTGGGTGGCACGCATGATGATGATGGGCCTGAAGCTGACGGGCGAGGCACCCTTCAACAAGGTGCTGCTCAATGGCATCGTCTGCGATGCGCATGGCCGAAAGATGTCCAAGAGCTTGGGCAACATTGTGACACCACAGCAGGTGGTGCAAGGCGCCAGCATGGATGTAAGTAGAGCAGTTCCTTTCTGTCTTTCACCTGACAATCTCCTTGCAGAGCATCATTGAGGGGCTGGAGCAATCCCTCGCTGCGGGTGTCATCAATGAGGCTGAGATGGAAATTTCATACCGATCCATGAGCAAAATGTTCCCCAAAGGCATACAGGAGTGCGGCACAGACGCCCTGCGCTTCACGCTGCTCAGCCACAACATTAAGAATCATTTCATCAACTTTGATGTGAGTGCCTGCCACACCAACAAGCTGTTCATCAACAAGATATGGCAGGCCATGCGCTTCACGCTGGGCGCCGCGGAGCGTCTGAACATTTCGCTGCATCAATTCGAGACACTGGACGGAGTGAACCTGGGCACTTGGGATCGCTGGATCATTGGCAGGCTGGGAGAGACTTTATCCATCTGCTCGGACAGCTACAAAAATTACAATTTCCACATGGCCACGGCGGCGCTCAAGCATTTCTTCTATCAGAATCTCTGTGATACTTATTTGGTAAGATAACTGGTAACATCCTTTGCCCTTTAACCTCTATAACTCTGTACAACCCACAGGAAACGACAAAGACTGAAATTAATCATCGCACACCCACGGGCTACATTCATGTGGGCACTTTGACTGCCTGCCTCAGCTGGGGACTGCAGGCTTTGTCGCCTTTTACACCGTTTGTGGCCTCGGAGCTGCTGCAGCATGTGCCACTCAATATGGAGGTGAAGCTGTCGCAGTATGCAGACAGCAAACTGGTAGCGGAGATCAACGATGTAGTCGGCATATGCCAGAGTGTGCGACAGCTGAAGAGCATGCACAAAGTCAGCAAGCGACACGAACCCAAACTCACTCTGTTTGCCACAAGTGCCGAGTCGGAGCAGGTGCTGGCTCGTCATCTGCAGCAGATACAGTTGTTGTCACGCTGCGAGCGCGTAGATCTGGACATGCTGAACGAGAATTCGAAGTATGCAAAGAAATTGAACCTCTTCTCCACGGCGGGCGCACTCTGCTCCTTTGGCCTGAGCATGAACGAGGACTTTGGCATGACTTTGGCGCAGCGTGACAATCTGGTGCAGAGCAACATCAAGCGGCTGAAGCGATTGGCAACTGAGCTGCAAAAGTATCGCATGCGCCTGGACAATGAAGCCTTTCAGCTGATGGCCGACAAGAAGACGCGCGAACATTTCGAAAAAAGGGTTTGCATTTGCAGGGTCCTTTCCATCAGGGTTAGATCTGCCTAACATTCGTTGGTCTCTCTTTGCAGGTCAAGGAACTGGAGGCGGAAATGAAGAGCTTAATGCCGGAAACAGCGTGATCTCAAGAGGAGTCTAATGTGTAGATAGTTCCCAGTGCCTTTGTTATTGTTTGCTAATCCATTAAGTTATTATATGTGGGTCCTCCTGCACCCAATTAACACATTTATAAGCCAGCCGCGAGTCTTCTTTCATTTTCTATATTATATGTCTTAGTTAAGCTATAAAATTGGACATGCATTCTGTGAATAGGACAAGTAGAAGCCTCGATTCGATATGTCCATATCCTCATTGCCATCGGTCACCGTGTAGACAACAAAAGGTTTTGCTGAAGTTGTGGTGGACACCAGTCCGAGGCCGCAGAAACGATCGCTGGCCAACGAAACGCCTCCCTGCGTGGGTGCTGGAATGACAATGTAGTCGGTGGTGCAGTCCTGACTCTGCACGGAGGATGTGGCCAGCAGTGCGGGATCCACGGCGCCCACATCGTTGGTCAGCGTAAAGGAGTATGTGTCGGAGCCGACCTGTCTGTAGGTGATGGAACAGATGCCAGCCGCCTTGCGTATGCAGATGCCGTATCTGGTGTTTGCCAGCTGCCGCGTGCCCTGCACCCCAATCGAGTTCAGAGCGGAGGAGGCAGCGGACACGTAATTGAAGCTGGCGAACGTGCCACTGGTGGGCATATAGTACTGCAGGCAACCGGAAGGCGCCAACGTGGCCGACGAGCAGCCCAGCATTCGTATCTGGAGCTGCCACTGGCGATTGAATGTGTAGCCCGCTGAGGTGGCCACCGAGATGGTGATGGGACTGACGCCATTAAAGTCCACGTAGACATGCTGGCCGGAGTTTTCGCCACAAATGCTGGGCACCTGTGAGGCACCGCCCGTAATGGTCAGCGCATCGGTGCTGCACAATCCATCACCCGTGGGTGGAGCCAGCGACAGAGCAAGGAAATCCACGCGCAGCTGGCAGATGCTTGAGTCCGGTGGCGTCACCACAATGGAGCAGCGACCGCCTCCGGCATACGGCGCCGGATAATTGCTGTTGTAGAAGTAAGTATTGTTGTACGAGGTGCTCGCGCCGCATGTCCTTTGATCTGACAAGAAAGTAGTCAATCTTGTAGAGCTCTAACCAATGGAGTGGCAAAGACTTACATATACAGCAGATGGCCTGGCTGGTAATGGTGGAGCAACTGCCGGCGCCCACTCCGCTATTGTCCGAACACTCGCCAGAAATGACGCATGTGCCCAGCAGCAGATTGTTGCCCGTGCAAATGTCATTGGAGAAGCGACCGATTGTGTAAAAGGGAAACCCTGGAAAGAGAGAAAAAAGTAAAGATTTTTATCTTATTTAAAGATAATCGAAATCTTCTTATCGCAGATCCAACAGAAGGTGCAGTGGAAGCGGAACCCAATGATGGTTGGTTGGAGTGCATAGCTAAGACTAAAGACTAAAGAATCCCGGACTCAGGTGATAATTGAGGCGTGACCCACATACGGAGACCACGACTGCGACAAAACAAGCCACCAGCACTCATCAGGCAGAGGGAGATCTCTCTCAAGAGCTCTCTCCCTCTCGACCGATCGTTCAGCACTTACAGCGAGGATGTCGTGAGTCACTGCGTGCCAGACTGGAGTTGGTTCCTGCCTGCAGGTCCAGACTGTCATTTTGGCTGGCAAGTGGCGCTTCCAGCTGCTGCACTTGCTGCACTTGCTGACTGCTGGCACGTGCCGCACTGTAGATGCCCAGAATGTAGCTGCTGAAGAAGATGGCCACGATGGCCAGGAGGCGCGAGGAGTGTGTGGCAGCAGCAGGCATGACTAGGCAAGATAATCGATTCACTTTCGGTTTTCGCACGAAGATCGCTCGTAGATCTGAAAGGGACGCGGAATGGATGGATGGTAATGGCCCGACTCGAAGGCACGTCCGAACGCGCTTGTATTACAACGAAGACTGAGCTGAGACAGGCCATAGTTTTGGGGGCATACTGTGGCGCAGATCCAGGTGCTAATTGAGAGAACCCGACGGGTATGGCGATTCATATTAATGCCGAGAGCAGGGCCGGCTCTTCCATCGGAATTTTCAGCGTGGTAAAGTCTGAAAGTTTCCATCATAGACATTTTTAAGCAGAATGTTCTTCCAGTGGGCAGAGTCCGTTGCGCCGCGCTACCCTAGTTCCAGTTCCGCTCCTGGCCAAAGATCGTGTGAAGCTTATTTCGTCGGAACGGGAGAGAATGTGGAGCACTCACGCATGGGAAGTCCAACGACCAGCGACCGTTCCATTCTTCGGTATGTTGATATTATTTCTTATTCGATTTTACGCGTATTGATTTAACGACAACAAATAACTGGGCGAGGAAAGTGATAGAATGACTGGCCGGGGCCAGCACGTGGCGCCTGTGGCGCCGCATGATACCATTCCTCGAGCCTGGTTAATAGAAAGTGCTCGCTATTTACCTCCTTAATACGCGTATGCAAACGCGTGTCTGGCTACCAATTTTTCCGCTCGACTTGATTTTATTTCTATAAATAATCCCATGCGATGCGATCAATCGGATTGCAAATGATGTAACGGTACACTTTGGGCGCGTGTAAAGTCTGTCTCTGGAACAGCTAACAGCGTCTGCGTTGCATTTACTAGAACGCGGCTCGCACGACATTAATTATCAGATTCTCACTAATCACAGACTATCTATCTGGCAGCTAATTAATGTTTAATCTGAAAAGGAAGGTAAGAGTGGATTGACACTTTGACTCTTTCCAGGGCGAAGCGAAGCGTAGAAAGTTGTCGACTGTTAAAAAAGTTAACGCTCTGTTAAGTTTACAGCAAATGTTGCCTTGCCTGGTTGGGGCTTTTATTAAAACAATAACTAGAAGCTAAACGCAAAATAGAAAAAGAAAAAAGTTCATTAACTTATTCAATTTCAATAATGGCGCCAGCCTTGGACAACGCCTCCTTCAGCTTCTCGGCCTCCTCCTTGGGTATGTCCTGCTTCACAACGGTGGGTGCACTTTCCACAAACTTCTTGGCCTGAACCAGGTTCATGCCCTCCAGCAGGTTCTTCACCTCCTTGATGAGCGCCACCTTCTGCTTGTCGTCAAACTTGACCAGCTTCACGGTGAAGGAGGTCTGCACCTTCTTGGGCGCCGCTTCCTCCTCATCGTCGGCGGCTGCACGTGCCGGTCCTGCCGCAAACTGTGGGGCAAAGGCTGTCTCTGGCAGGTTCAGCTTCTGTTTCAGCAGGCTGCTCAACTCGGCGACCTCCAGCAGATTCAGTGCCGCAATGTTGTTGACAATGCTGTCCAACTTGGGATTGGGTGGCTTGGCAGCCCCCTCTGGAGGAGGCGGCACCAGTTTTTCAGCTCCCGAGACAGCCGCTGCCGGGGCCGCTGAGCTGTACATACGCTGCAGGCGAATGTGGCGAGTGATTTGACGAAGGGCAAGTCGTGTGAGCTGCATTTTGGTTATATCTGTGCAGGAGTAATGACTGTTTAAGTAACCAAGTCCAGAAATTTCAATTAGTTTTCTATTTACTTGTGTTTTTCTGGTGGAATTTTTGGTGGCCGCAGCAGGTTATGTGAGCAAGATTTATCGATCAAATATACCACACTACTTTCAACAACATACCGAAATATACCTTGACTTTTTAAAAATATACAGTAAATATACCGAAATCTTAAATCATTTTTCTCGATTTTGCTATTCTGTTCAATGTTACCAGCTAGTTAGGCCTCTCAGGCGCTGTTGTTATAATTTTATCCGATCTATCAATCAATCTTCCACAAGATTGGCTAGTTGTTATGACTTTTTTATTGGACTGTTTGCAAAATAAGGTTAAACTAAAAAGACCAACCAACAAAAATAGCAAAAAACGTTATGTTTGGGAGCCTGGAATGTTACGTATTTGACAACTTGTTGCTTGTCAGCCGGTGGTATTTTATGCAATATATACCCTATTTCCATTAATAAATATTAAAATTCACTTTTCCAAGCGGCTCTTAAATATGACTATCTTGCATTGAAAACTAACTTAACCGACATGGCCCCCCCCCCCCCACTGTTTAAACTATGGTTAAAACTGTGAATTCATCTTTGATTACAACAAAATATTACAAGTTCAATTCTTTGAGTTTCCCAATATTCGGTGGTGTTCCTTTCATTTATTCGATTTTCAGTCTACAGAGCAAACACTTTAACATAGTCAATTGTCATATGGGCGTCATCCAACCACTGATCGAGCATCGGTTTCTGATGCTTCCAAAAGTCCGACATGGCGCGCGGTTCCCGCTCATGCCACGGTTTCTGTGTATCGTAGAAATACTCGTTGAATCCTCCCACCGCCAGGCCAAAGGTTACATAAAACTCCTGATCGAAGGGCGCCAGTCCAGTGCCCTCTTCCAGTTTCTGAGAATTCGGCAGTCGCATCCCATTCACAATCGTCTCGCTGAACGCTCCGCACTCGCTGCCCTGACGACAAATCTCCTTGCCATCGACCAGCCACTTGAGCTCCCGCGGCGTCCACTCCAGGGTGTAGTTGTGGAAACTGTCGCTCCAGTCATCCGAGCTCTCCTTGCTGCCATCCCTGTGGCACACTTTGGCCGAGCGGAGTGGCTCCTCGGCATTGAGCAGCGCTCCCGTATACAGATCCACTTTGCCATTGGCTGGCCGGGTGTACGCAATCCGAATCTGTCCCGACTGATAGTCGTCTCCATAAGCGGGAGCCTTGGGCTGCAGCCAGAGCTGCGGCGTGAGCCACTCGGCCCGCGGCATCTTGGCGCGCACATCAACCCGTCCGTACTTGAAGGAGAAACTCTGCTTGGTGGAGAACTGAGCCGTCAGCATGGGCGGCAGTCGATCGTTTCGCTGTCTGCCATCACGAACGCAGTCCGCTGTATTGGCGGCCCCTGTGCAGCCGCTGCCCAGATCCAGCTTGCCCTCCAAGTTCTTGTGGAAGTGTCGCTTTGTCGAGGTGGTTGACAGCACCGCATGGCCGTTGTGGAGACGCAGCGTGCTGTGGGTGTCGTCCAAGTAGACGTTGAACTCGTAGTCGGGCGACCCGGAGAAGCGTCGCTCCGCCAGCCACTTGTTGGTGTCCAATTTTGCGGCATTGAACTCGTCCACAAACACCAACTGTCCCGCGCAGCGAGAGGGTCCACCGTTCACCTGTGTTTTGGGTTGCGTGCAGCCCAAACGAATGTCGATGTCCGGGTCCAAGTTTGGGTCCGATGGCCAGATCCAGGGAGTGGTGGATTCAGCTCCCACCGTGGGTCTCCGTGTAGTTGATGGAACGGTGCTATTTCCGCTGTAAGCATCGACAACGAAAGTGCCATCATCTTCGCGATAACCCAGGCCATTGTAGATAACGTATGTCCAGTAGTAGAGCGTGTCGCCTGGCTTGAGCATCGCCAAACGATCCCTGAAGGTCCAGCGGCCGTTCTTCACTTTGACAATATCCCGGGCCCAGGTGCCCGCCTCTAAGCCTTCCATCTCCTCGTTCAGCTTCCCGTGGAAAGCAAACAGGGTGATGCCCTCCTCGTGTGGTATGGAAACCTCGAATCCCTTGGGATAGAACACTTCAATCTTGGCTCTTGGCACCTCATAGCCGTGCACTTGCACTCCAAGGAGGAGAAGCATTTGGAGACAGCAGCTCCACACACAAAAGCGAGATGCATCCGCCATTCTGACACGCAGAATCGCAACTAAGATGAGCAGCCGTCAGACAAGTCAGACTTATCAAGAAACCGGTTTGTTCTGCCTTTGTTTATTTTAATCACTAATCACAGCATATATAAAACTGTGTGTGGGAAGCTAGTGAGAGAGAGAGAGCGCAATAGAGTTATCTTGGGAATAACCCAAGCCCCGGCGGCTTTGTTTTCACAAATGTTTTCATTGACAAAAGCAAATATTCAGCCAAAGCTACTTCGAAAAACGCGCGTTTTCTAGCAATCGATATCTTACTGTCATCTTTGATCAGCTGTGCCACCTATCGAGCCAGTTCCAAATCAATGTAGAGTATGCAGAGTACATTAATAACAGCAATGGGCATGACGGAATTGTGCTTCTTAAACGTTTAACTGAGAAAGAATCTCCAGCAAAATGAAGATAAAGATAAGTCACAAAAACGCTCATTTTTTACTCTTCTATTCACTAACTTCATATAGTCCACCCGGTACATGGCAGCTCTGAAAGGGTATACAAGTTTCGATAGAAAAGGGTGTAGTTTTACACCTGTTTGTTTTGTGGAGCAGCAAGCTTTGTACGTCGCGACGTTTAGAATTTGTCTTTTCGGTTCTCGTTCTTGCAAAACACAATTAAAAATGTACATATTTTCGTAAAATCTATAACAAAAACCACACGTCGCGGCTATCAAATTTGGGTGCGCGTATATTTTGTGGGTGCGCTTTTTATAATTAAAAAAAAACAAAAAAACTCGACAAAAGATAATAACAAATAGCGAGCAGCAGTTTTTCGCAGCGCGAGTGTGTTTGTGTGGGTGACAAAAGTTGCTGCTGGGGGCTGATATAAACAAAAAGTACCACCATTAAACAATAGCGTTCCGGAGCTGAGCTGCTGCATTGTTGATATTGTAAGTTTTATATAATTCGATTCGCTTGTCTTGTGTTCTTTGCCTGCCTGCTTTAATTTTTCTGTTGCTGCAGCGACAATCAGCTGTGGGGTTGCCAGATATCTAATTAATTTACATAAGATAAAAGCGCTGCAATGGCAATTAAAACATTGTTTTAGTTGATATTGTTGCAAATTGAGTAGCTTTTTATTTTCTTGGCGGACGGAACGATTTCGAGCGCATAAAATATCGATGTATCGATTGCTGTAATGCTGCAGTTCGCTTGCGCGACCAAAGCAGCTGTCTTCTTGTTGTTGTTGGAAAAGCTCGAAACAACAACAAGCAAAACAACTGAAAATGATTGATTTTTCTCGTGCGTGTCGGTCGGAAAAGTAGGCGACGACGACGTCGACGACAACACAAACCGTTTGAACTGGCAGGCAGCAGTGAAAAATCTTTCAATATCACAGTCGTCTCGCTGGCGAGCGGACGGGAGCAGCAGCAG